AGGGGGGGAAGACCCAAACCCAGAAAATATGGGAACATATGGGGGATCCTGTTCTTTGTGTGTATTTCTTTGTGTGTCCCAGGGCCCCGTCTTAGTCTTGGCGTCACCCCAGCATGCTAAGAGCATATTGCTCTGTTGCTTGGGGCATAATGGGTATTATAGCCCCCGGCCACCCCCCCCCGATAACGTGTCGCCCCTCCCCCCCCCAGTGCGCTCCGGGCACTGCCGCCGTGCGCACGGCGGGGGGGCGGCGTTACATCCGATTCCCCCCCTGGCTCCTCCCCACCCCACCCCCCCTATAATGCCCCTCATCGCCGAAGATAAAAGGAGCGCGCCCTGATATGCTAATTATGTGTGCGTCGGCCTCCTCGGGGGCGACGCGCGCACCGAGGAGAATCTCATGGTCTATACCTGCGTCGTGGCGGGCGCTTTCTGGACGCACACCGCTCGGGGAACGAAGCACTGCAGTATGGGTGTGCTGCATGTCCGGGTCGGGCGCGGGCCTCCCAGGAGCACGTCCAGTACTCGTATGTCTTTGTGCGCCCCGTCCCTCTCCCGTTGGGAGCAGAATGATTGCGATACCGCTGCTTTCCAGACCTCTCCCGGGGTGCGTTCTGACCCAGAGCTCGGGGCAGATCCAGCCGTGGCAGCAATGGACGGGCATCGGTATCCGTCGGTCGTTGAGAGCAGGTGTTCTTGGATTCCCACATTCGTGTATATTTCAAGCGCCTTTCTACTTCCACACAGAGGGCAGAGCATCAGGTATGGGCTGCCCGAGCCCGACCAGTATAATTCGAGGGTGGTTCTCGCTGGAAGCATGTACCTTTACCTTCCCAGAGCTCCGACGAGCCCCCCCGAAATGTGGAGCGGACGGTTTTTTGGCTGTGTCTGGCCGCTGGGCCCTCGCCCGGCCTCGGGACCAGCAGAAAAAAGACACTCCCGGGACGAAAAGTTGGCCCCCAGCTCTGAACACGCAATTCCGTGCTCAGATTGAGAGGAGAGAGGGTTCTCGAATGTCAGCTTGGAAACGCGCAGAATGTTTTTTCTGGTTTTCTACGAAGTTGGTTCCCCCACGTTTTTTTTTGTTATATATATATATATATTTATATTTATATATATATAAAGTAATATTGCATCTGTCGGGGCCTCCAGGGCCGACGCATCGAAAGGAGTGGGGCAGCCAGACGTCTGGGATCCCGCCTCCGCCGCCTGGGTGGACCTCACCCCCCATCCTTGGCCCCTCCCTCCGAGGGTGCTGCTGCCCTTCCATCCCTCCCCCACTCCCTTCTTGATGCCGTTGCTCCTCTTCTCATCATCATCATCATCATCATCATCATCATCATCAACATCATCATCATCATCATCATCATCATCGTCATCATCATAATTCTCATCATCATTACTATCTTCATTATCATCATCATTATCATCATCATTAATATCATCATTATCATCATCATTATGATCATCATTACCATCATCATTATCATCATCATCATCATCATCATCATCATCATCATCATCATCATCATCATTGCCTCCCCCACTCTCTTCTTGATTCCGTTGCTTCTCTTTTCGTCCTATGTTTTCCCCAGCTCGTAAAGAGCTAGTATTATCCTGTGGGGGAACGCGGAGAGTGGACCGCTTGATCCGGAATCTTGCGGGTGACGTGGTCTCTCGGTGTCTTCCGCTGTCTTCTTTTGTCTCTTAGTGGTTTCCGTTGTCGCCCGTTGGTTCTTGCCGTTTTCCGTTGTCTCCCGCTTCCTCGAGTTGCGCCCCATTGTTTCTCGTTGTTTGCCATTGCTTATCCCTAAATATCCGTTTCCCTATCTTTTTTTATATGTGTTCCTATCCCTATATCCTTATACCCCTATCCCTGCACCCCTAGCTCTACATCCCCATTCCTTTCCCGATCCACCCATCGTGGCCTCCCATGGTGGCGCTCCCAACGTGACCCCCCCTCGTGGCCCCCATCGCAACTTTGTCAAACTGTCCAGTGTCTTATGCCGCAAAAGTGTCATTATCTTCCTCATCCTTATCTTCCTCATCCTTATCTCACTTCACTCCTTATCCTCTTCCTGGGTTCCTTCACTCCTTATCTAGCTCATCATCACAAGTGCGATCCTCATGACAGGATCTTCCCCCTGCGCGCTCTCGAGCGACTTCTAGGTGATACATGGCCTTCCCCATTCCAGCCCGGGATGGAGGTGTCCAACGAGCCCAGCGTTCAGGCTGCCTCTTCCAGGAGGGTTTGCGGATCCACATTTCCGTCCTCTCGCATTTCTGCCGCCCTTCCAGCTTGAGCCCCCACCTTCAATTCCAGATGCGGGTCCTGGGAGGTTGGATTCAGGACTGGTGCATCCGTGGCCGAACTTTGGCGTAGTCTCACTGTGATCCCGCTCTGATCTCGATGAATCCGTTAGTCCCATGTTTACTCTGGGCTGATGCGGCTTAATGCTCTCCCTTGATCGGGCTGAGACCCCTTCACCGTTCTTGCGAAGACCTCCCATATGTCGCCTCCTGATGCCATGGAGCTTGACACCCGCGCGGCGACGAGGGCCACAGTCTGCGGGGCCCGGCACCGCGGGAGGAGCCCCCCCGCTCCAAGTACGTCGGACACTACGTGCTCGGCAAGACCATCGGCGAGGGTACCTTCGGCAAGGCCCCCGTAAAAAAACGTGACCCGCGCCTGCTCTCGAGGGCGGCCAAGAGGGGGGTGATGACTAGGTGGGGGGGTGGAGATCGTGACGGGGGCCATGATGTCTTCCCGGATCTCATGGCGCCTCTTCTTTTTCAATCGCTTCGCTCATTCCGCCGGCCCATTTTTGGGCATTGTTGCGTCGACTGGCCGAGTGGTCGTTGGCGGCGTTGAGCTGCAGGGGCGTCGGCTGTTTTCTGAGGCGTTGCGTGGGGCATGATGCTGGGGCGATTCGTCTGGATTTCCTGGGGGTTGTCAGGGGAATCGGTCGCTTTTTTCACGGGGCGGCTGGTCGTGCGGTGCCTTGTTGGACTCCGGGTGCTTTCGTGGGGGTTTGCTGGTCGTGGATGCTCACCCTGGGGCTTGTCGATGGGGCGCAGGTGACATTTGATGCGGCGGTGTTGGTTGGCCACGCGCAGAGGGGGGTGGGGGGAGGGGGGAGGGCTTCTTAGAAGCACTCTGCTTGCTTTCTATTGTCGCCTCCTCCTTAAAAGCCCGACCCCCTCCCCCCACCCCCGTGTGCGCGCCGCCAAGTTGGGGTCTCCTGGCAGGTGTCACGCAGGCCTTTTGGAGGGAGTTTTGAAGCCTCTTGAGGCCTCGTCGGGGCCGTTTGGGTGCCCAGGGGGCCCGATGTCGGGCCTCTCGGGGGCTTCGGGTCGGAAAGCTTCAAAGGTCATTTCGAGTTCCATCTCTGGGGGCCTCTTGGGCCATCTTGGAGCCCTCTGGGGCCCTCTCGGGCGCATCTTGGGGGCATGTTGGGCCATCTTGGGGCGATCTTGGGGGTCTCCGCCTGTGCCTTCTCTTGCCCCCCCTGGTCCCAGTTGTGTCGGGGGTGGACAGACCTCCTACCCTGACACGTCGATTCAGGAATTGGCCGCTTTCGGTTCGCGGGAGGGCGTCGCGGCTGTCGTTTTTGCGGGTCCAGGTCCGTCGGTTTCGGTCCCAGGCCGTTTTCTTCACGAAAGGGAGGTTTACTAAAGGTCAGAGCCCCGAATCATCAGGGGTAATTCGGGTCATGGCTAACTCGGGTTCGCTTTTCGGGATTCCGAACCCGAGTTGTCCCGGACCCGAGTTACCCCGGATAATTCGGGCGTCCAGAGCCCCAAACTCATCCGGGGTACCTCGGGTCAGGGCGAACTCGGGTTCGCTTTTCGGGAATCCGAACCCGAGCTACCCCGGACCCGAGTTACCCCGGATAACTCGGGCGCCCAAAAATAGTGGGCGACAGCCGCCGCCGCATGTTGGTATCGGTATCATCGATAGCTCTAGCTAGTGGCAGGTTCTTTGAACATTTGTTGCTCAAGGCAGTTGCATACCTTCATACACACATATTTCTCTTCTTATATTTTTATTAGCCCCGGCGGGGGGGCCCCCCACAAAAAAGGGAGGTTTGTCCACCGCCGATGGTGGTTCTGGCGAGAGCGGGCCTGCTGCGCGGGGCCCCAGCCACAGCCCCGCCGCGGGGGGGCCCACGCGGGAGCCGGGTCAGCCCCCGAGGGCGGCGCGACGAGGATCGCGCCTCGCGCGCGCAGGGGCCCGGGCCGGATCGGCTGCCCTGCTCAAGGGTCGGGTCGGGCCTGCCCCTCTACGGGGGGAGTGTCAACAAAAATGCCCAAATCATAGTCTGGGGACGTTTTGTTCCCTACCTAGGCTCTGCCTAGAAGGGTTCTTACTCTCTTAGCTTGAAGGGGCCGGGCAGTGCACACTGCCCCGGCGGTTCCCCCAGTCCCCTGGGAGCGTTCCCCCCAGTCCCCTGGGAGCTTTAGCTTTAGCTTTAGCTTTAGCTTTAGCTTTAGCTTTAGCTTAGCTTTAGCTTAGCTTTAGCTTAGCTTTAGCTTAGCTTTAGCTTAGCTTTAGCTTAGCTTTAGCTTAGCTTCAGCTTAGCGTTTCGCTTAGCTTTTCGCGTTAGCTTTAGCTTTAGATTTAGCTTAGCTTTAGCTTAGCTTTAGCTTAGCTGTAGCTTAGCTTCAGCTTAGCGTTTCGCTTAGCTTTTCGCTTAGCTTGTAGCTTAGCCTTTAGCTTAGCTTTAGCTTAGCTATAGCTTAGCTTTAGCTTAGCTGTTGCTCAGCTTTAGCTTAGCTTTAGCTTAGCTTTAGCTTAGCTTAGCTTTAGCTTAGCTTTAGCTTAGCTTTAGCTTAGCTTTAGCTTAGCTTTAGCTTAGCTTTAGCTTAGCTTTAGCTTAGCTGTGGTTTAACTTTAGCATAGTTTCAGCTTAGCTTTAGCTTAGCTTTAGCTTAGCGTTATTGTTACGACTAATGCTGCTTTCCAAGGGGTTCCAACTCCTAGGTAGGGTCGCACTGGGATATTTTTTGCTGTTTGTTTTATTTGTTGGTTCTCTCTCTCTCTCTCCACGTATTGTTGACCCCTTGGGACTTTTTTGTTGTTGTTTATTTTTTTATGTTTCGTCCAGGATACCCAAATCATAGTCTGGGGACGATTTTTTTTTGGCTCTCAGTATCTCTGACCACTTGGGACGTTTTCTTTTTTTCTCCTTAATATTGTTCGTCCGAAATCCACCACCCACCGAACCACCCCAACCCAACCCGAAGGCTCAGATTTACCATCGATTTCCAGCGGGGGGGGGGGGTCGGGAAACATCGAAAAAACACGTGTGGAACCCTTGCCCCCCAAACCCCGACATTCGGGTCTTCGGGTCGGGTTGGGGTGGTCTGGTAGGTAGTCAAAAATCCACCTGGAAGGGGGCAGGCCCGCCCTGCCTCCGCGGGGGGGGGGCGACGGCGCGCGGGCGCGCGAGCGCCGCGGCGCGCGCCCCGCCGCCCTCCCCGCGGCGGGGCGCAGGGCCGCGCGGCGCCGCCGGCGACGGCGGGGGGCAGGGCCGCGGGGGGGCAGCCGCGGCCGCGGGGCCGAGGTCTGCTCCTCGCGGTGCTGGCCATCGCTCTCAAGCCTCCTCCTCCTCCTCCTCTTCTCCTCCTCCTCCTCTTCCTCCCCTCCTGCTCCTCCCCCCCCTCCCCCCACCTCCCTCCTCCTCCTCCTCCGCCTCCTCCTCCTCCTCCTCCTTCTCCTCATCAGTGGCGAAGCGTCCTGGCTCGCCTATAGCCCCACCAAACAATGTTCTAATAACCTTTTGTGGTCTCCACGGGATGTTCTTAGAGCATTTCTGGCGGAGGCTGTCTTGTCTTATCACACCGGGAGGATGTTCTAAGAACATGGGCTTTGTTCCTAGAACATGTTTGGGTTCTGAGACCATTTCGTGGTAGGACTATAGGAATGCCAGGACGGTCGGTCCCTGCTCAAGGTCTGCTCCTCGCGGTGCTGGCCATCGCTTGGGCGTCCATTCTTTGTTTTTTTCCAGTTTCGTACAGGGCTTTTTCTCGCAGGATGAGCCAGGGTGCTCCTGACGAGTCCCCGCCGAGAAGGACAGCACACGTCCGAGCGATACCAAGGGTGGTGAGTTCCATAGCGGTCGCGTGACGGCCTGGCTCGGGGGCCGCGTCGGTAGCGCCTCCGCGGTGCGCGTGGCGCGATTCAGTGGCAGGGACAGGCGGCGCGCGGCCATTCGATGACGCGCGGGCGTTCCATGATGCTTCCTCGCGGTCCAGGTCGAGGAGAGCAACGTGTCGAAAACTTAAACCATTTCGGAATCGTTGCGGCTCCTTGGGGGGGCTCAGCTTGGCAAGACGTGTGTGACCCACTGCGGCCCGTCGTGACGAGGTGTCGAGGGCTGGCGGCGCGCGCTCCTGTCGCTGTTGTTCTTGGTTGGCGCAATTACAGCAGAAACCCGTGCCAAGAAACACCCTGCCTGCCTCCATGGTGCTCTGGGGTCTTGGGGTTTCGACGGTTTTGCCATGGAGAGCGTGGCGCTCCGTGACCGAAGCTCAATGGACGTCCTGGGGCCCCAGGGTGGGGTTTCTCGTGGAAGGTTCTTTGTGGTCGAGCTCCGATTGTATGTGGGGGGAGAAGGTCGGTTTGGGAGGTCGCCGCGGCGATCGCGGCGGCCACGCATCAGGGCAAGGTTCCGTCAGGGAGTGGCATGCCCCTTCCCGCCCCCCCCCCGCTCGCTTTGCGACGTAGACGTGGCTCACTGCTACCTGCCAGCACTGCGGCAGAACATTGTAATGTTATGCCCGACGTGGGCTGTCATGTTTTTGGGGCTCGAGGTCGAGTGTCACGCAACCAGAAAGGTCGGCCTCACGTGAGGAGTGGCCTTCGGCCAGCGTGACCTTTGGTGCTCGGCTTCCGCGGGGCGCGCGGCGTCCAGACCCAAACACGCAGGCAGCATGTGTCGCATTGCGTGCAGCGATTGGCAAACCGCGCACCGAAGGTTCTTCTTATCCCCCAGAGTCACTCTTGCGTGTACCCGAGCAGGTTGGGAACAACACGAGGTGAAACAGAGGGGCGCGAGCACCCACCGGTCGTCCCACGCGCGTGCGCGGCACCGTCGGCCTGCAACTGGCGAGGGATGGGGGGGGGGGGCAAGCTTTGCGACGGCAGCGTGCCAAACAGCAGACGTGCTCTGGTCGCCATCCCCTGCCCGGGCGCCCATGGCCCAGCGCGGCCTCCCAGGCATCGCTCTCCCAAAGAAGCGTTCCCAGGGCCAGTCGAAGGGCATATTGTTTTCTCTCAGCTGGGATCACCCAAGGATGCGGTCCGATGGCTCCTACTTCTTCGGGTCGACGTGGGGCGGCGGAAGTGCGAGCGAGCCGACGCCAAAGTTCTCGGGCGCAGGGGATTCAGATGGCCGCTCACGTGAGCGACTGAAGGGAGCGTCTTCGACGGCGCGGGCATTCGCGCGCAAGTTTCCTGCGCGACGTCGCTATTTTCTCGCTGTGGAAGTCTAGGCTGCATGGGGTCCGAGTAGATGGGTCGGAGGATCGCGCCGCATCGCCGATGCATCGCCGATGCGTCTCGACGTGGAGTTCGACTAACCGCGCCGACGGCACCGAGGCGTCGCCGACGTTGGCGATGCGTTGCCGATGCCTTGCCGATGCTTTGCCGATGCGGCGCGATCCACCGACCCCATCTACTCGGACCCAATGTTTGGGAGGCCTCTAGTCTTAAGTCAGGCATGTCCCCGTAAAGGGGGATTTCAACGAATAATCAAAACTATTCCAAACAAATTCAATGATGATGATGACGATGATGATGATGATGATGATGATGATGATGATGATTATGATGATGATGATGATGGATATGACGGTGATGGTGCTGATGATGAGAATGATGATGATGAGTGATGATGATGAGGCTGATGATGATGATGATGGTGATGATGATGATGATGGTGGTGGTGGTGGTAGTGGTGGTGATGATAATGATGCTGATGATGAGGACGACGATGATGATGATGATGATGGTGGTGGTGGTGCTGATGATGACGACAAGGACGATGGTTGTGGTGGTGGTGGTGATGAGGATTATGCTGATGATGATGATGATGATGATGATGATGATGATGATGATGGTGACGATGCTGGTAATTATGATGATGGTGATGATGCTGATGATGATGATTACGATGATGATGGTGATGAGGATGAGGGTAACGCTGATGCTTATGCTGATGCTGACGGTGATGCATTCTGACGATGACGATCGTGTTGATGGTGATGGTGACGCTGCTGGTGACGATGATGATGAGGAAGTTGAGGATGTTGTTGCTGATGCTGATGCTGATGATGATGATGAACATGCTGATGATGATGCTGGTGATGATGGTGATGATGCTGGTAATGATGTTGTTGATGATGATGATGATGCCGATGATGATGATGATGATGATGCTGATGATGATGAAGCTGATGATGATGATGATGATGATACTGCTACTGCTGATGCTCATGATGATGATGCGGATGATGATGATGCTGACGACGATGATGATGATAGTTCTGATGATGCTGTTGCTGATGGTCATGTTACTGGTAGTGATGATGATGATGATGCTGCTGATGATGATGCTGCTGATGATGATGGTGATGCGAATGCTGAGACTGAGACTGAGGCTGATGATGATGAGGCTGATGATGATGATCCTGATGATGTTGATGCTGATGATGCTGCTGGTGGTGGTGCTGATGCTGATGGCGATGACGGTCTGATGCTGATGCTGCTGATGATGCTGATGATGATGATGATGATGATGATGATGCTGATGATGATGATGATGATGATGACGTTGATGCTGATGCTGATGCTGATGCTGATGCTGTTGTTGATGATGCTGATGATGAGGAGGTGGAGTAGGAACACGAGGATGAGGATGCTGAGAATGTTGTGAAGGATGTGGAGGGAGAGGAGGAGGAGGAGGAGGAAGCGCATGAGCACGAGGACGAAGGGAAACTGCAGACCCTCAGATGTGACGCCTCCCGTCTTCACTAATTGGGGAGCCCGCGTTGAGTTCGTTGGGGCTGTCTTGTGGCTGTGTTGGCCTCCTGTGAGGCAGTCCTGGGGGGGGGGGGGGGCTGATGGCCCTCTTGGGCAGCTTTGGTACCTCCTGGCCGTATGGCGGGTGCCTGTGGGCCGTCTTGCAGCCGTTTTGGGCGGTCGACGGGCATTGTATGGCAGTCGCGGGTTTCTTCGGGAGGCCCTTTTGGGCAGCCCTGAAACCATCTTGGGGCCAGCGTGGGCGGTCCTGCAACCATCTTGGGCCGTCTTAGAGGCGCCTTGGCCTCGGGAGCACGACCCTGCCGTATTTTACGAATGGTTGTGGTCTCGTGGGCGCGGAGCTGGTATACTTAACACCATGTGTTGTGGCCCGAGGAGCGCGAGCCCTGTCATTGTTGACTGGGGTTGTGGCACCGCGGGGGGTGGCGATTCGTGCGCGGCAGCGTGATGAGAGGGGGGATGGCTTAGAAGATTGCAGAGCGTCTTCCAGGCAAAACTCGACTTCCGAGCACGCCCCGACCTGACATGGGGGCATGGTGTCGTATTCAAGTCCCCGTGGACGGGGCTTTGCTAAGGTGGTGTAGTTTTGCGCCCCGTGTCAGCCCGCACGTTGCCTGCCGTTGAACGTGCACGCGCAAGCAAACATTGTTCACCCTGATGGCGATCATCATCATCATCATCATCATCATCATCATCATCATCATCAGCATCATCATCATCAGCATCATCATCATCATCATGCGGGCGCTGGTGATAGGGCGATGGGGAAGGATCTGGCCATCACTGCGATAACTACGATGGCGGCGAGGCGGATTATGATGATGCTGCTTATGATGATGCTGATGATGATGATTCTGATGATGATGATGATGATGATGATGATGATGATGATAATGATTATTATAATGATGATGATGCTGATGATGATGATGAGGATGAGGATGCTGTCGATGATGACCAGTCAGATGAAGCGTACTATGAGTAATACGATCATGACGACGATGATGGTGATGATGCTGATGACGATTGTGATGCTGGTTGTGGTGGTGATGGTGATGATGCTGATGAGGATGATGATGACGATGACGATGACAATGATGCTGCTGCTGCTGATGATGATGATCATGATGATGATGATGCTGATGATGAGGTTGATTATGATGTTGATGATGGTGTTTATGCTGCTGATGGTGATGATTGTGATGGGGTGGTGGTGTTTGTCATGGCAATGACGACAATCTTGTGATTGTCAATGATGGGAATTTCCATGGATCTGCGACGATGATGGCGATGGTGTGATGATGTTGAAGATGCATACTGTCTCCATGGAAGGCTGGTTGGCGATAGGCTGGGAGTCGGGGGGCGGCCTCAGAAGGTCAAGCTGGGGACGCACGTGCTGACTGGACAACGGGTCGCCGTGAAGGTGCTAGAGAAGGATCGCATCGTAGAGATCGCCGACGTGGAGCGCGTCGCACGGGAGGTGCAGACACGATTATGGCTGTAATTCTTCCTCGTTGTTTTCTTCTTTCTCGATTCCCCCTACACCTCCTCCATCGACCTCGTATCAGGCAGCATCGTACAATGCTTTATCTTCCTGGTACCCCAGTTCGGAGCACTTGCTTGCCAAGTTGCTGGTTTGTGCATGTGTAGCCTTGTCGGTGCACCTGAAGCGGAGGCGCAGACGAGCCGTCGCGAAGTCGCGCACACAACGACATGCGCATTGCCCAGGCGGGTTGCCCCGAGCCATGCTTCCGAGGCAGGTCCCCTGGCCATGCTTCCACAACTTAGCTGCCCTCATACGACCGTTTTGAAGCGCAACACGTGCCGTGGTCAAAACCTCCGTGTCAACACGCTGCGTGTTGGTGCGGCACGTGTTAGTCCACGTTTGGGCGAACGTATCGCGGCAGACCTACGTCTTAAGTCTACGTGTTGAGCTCCGTGTCAGCACGCCGCGTGGTGCGTGATGCGTGTGGGGGCAGCTAGGACCGACCTTCGCATGGCCCTGGTGGGGTGACCCCAGCGCCGCTTCTGAGACAGGTCCCCTGGCCCCACTTCCAGTCCCCGCCCGGGCGCCGCAGACCCAACTCACATGGACGGCCCGAAATCGGATTTCCTTTCGTTGGACACCGTTGCGGAAGGTACTGAGCACCCCCACTTCGACTCGGTGTGACAAGTCCAGATCTCCGCCGCGCATGCCTTGATTCCGGCCTCCAGGGGCTCGTTCCATCACAGATGGATTTGGGGAGAAGAACTGGCCCCGGGCGTTCGGGGCGACCCAGGCCTCCCAGGTGGGGTCCGAGCATCTGGGGTTCGAGGATCGCGCTGCATCGCTGATACATAGGCGACGTGGAGCCCGGTTTCTCCGACGCTGACGTCGCCGGTGCAACGCGGATGTCGCCGATGCATCGGCGATGCACCAGCGATGCGGCGCGATCTCAAACCCCATCTACGCGCTGGGCGCTGTTTCCTCGTGCAGCTTGGTTGGCACTTTTCTATGTCGCGATTCTCGGCGTGGTGGGCGCGATGCGACTTGGCGACATATGAGCCTGCGGTATGCCACGCAGTCATGGGCACGCAGTCGCCCTGGATACGCAAATAGCTCCCCGTGCGCGCGCGTGGTTATTTGCGCGACTTGTTCCGTTCATTGTTTTCTCTTGAGGTGCACATCCTCAAGCTCATACGACACCCGCACATCGTCCAGCTCTACGAGATCATCGAGACGAAGAGGCGCTCCCGCTGTGGCGAATTAGTCGGGGCGGCAGTGGGGTAGTCGTGCCGCCTGCAGCTTTGAGTTGGAGGCAGGAGAATTCGTCCCGAATTCAGCGTTCAAGTTGGGGCCCCCTTTTGTTCTAGTCAGGCAAAACCTACATCCCTGAACATCGCATTTTTTTGTCAGCTGGCCGGTCCGCTGCGACGCGTGAAGCGCGGAACAGCGACAACTGGAGCCCCGTGCAGGAGAAGGAGGAGGCAATAATGAAGGGCAGCTTGACAGAACTCAGGAGGAAAAGAAACACACAGACACAATTAATCCTCGATTCCCTAGAACATATGGGAAAATATGGGAAGTGGGGGGGAAGACAGAAACCCAGAAAATATGGGAAAATATGGGGAATCATTTTATTTGTGTGTATTTATTTGTGTGTTTGTGGGCCCCTTCATTGTTCTAGTCAGGCAAAACCTACATCCCTGAACATCGCATTGTTTGGTCAGCTGGCCGGTCCGCTGCGACGCGTGAAGCGCGGAACAGCGACAACCTGAGCCCCAGGCAGGAGAAGGAGAAGGCACAGTGAAGGGCAGCCTGACAGAACGGACAGCGACGACGTCGCCGTCGGCACCGTCGCCGTCGCCTCTGAGACCCGACGTCGCAGGAACGTTGGAGCTTCGCGTGAGATCATGGCCGTAGCCCTGGGCCCCGTCCGTGTGCTGCATGCCTCGAGGCGGCTCGACCCGTGAAGGTCCCCCGGGGATCCAGACAGGGCGAGCTCGCCCGCTGCGAACAAAAAGCAGCGCCCTGATCTGAGGAGTCGTCGCCTTGGCTGTCGGTGTCGCCGTCGTCGTCGCTGGCCGCCGTCGGCGGAGCCCCGCGTGGCAGACCCCCGGCGTCATGGTTTTGTTCACGCTGTCGGCCCTTAGAGGTCTCGACCCCTTCCCCGGGGCCCTCGTTTCATCCCGGGCCGTTTTTCTGGGGCCCCAGGGCCCAATTGGCCCGCGGAAGCCGAAAAAGGACAACAGCACCAATGCGCTGCGTGACTATTGTCGCGAGACGCCGTCGCCGCCGCCGTCGTTGTCGCCGCCCGTCGTCGGCTGAACCCCGCGAGGCAGCTGTACCTCATCATGGAGTACGCGGCAGGCGGCGAGCTGTTCGACTACATCGTGGCGCGGGACAGGGTTCAGGAACCAGAGGCCGGCGATCCTCTCGCGCCGCCTGGACGAGGAGGGGCCAGGGGGCGAAGGAAGGAGGAGGAGGAGGAGGAGGAGGAGGAGGAGGAAGAGGAGGAGGAGAGATGAGGAGGAGGAGAGGAGGAGGAGGAGGAGGAGGAGGACAGGAGGAGCAGGAGGAGGAGGAGGCGGAGGAGGAGGAGGCGGAGGAGCAGATGCAGGAGCAGGAGCAGGAGCAGGAGCAGGAGGAAGACGAGGCGGAGGAGTTGGAGGACGGGGCCCAGACACTCTCGTGTCGTAAGATTTTGGCAACAGGATGCTGCTTGCTGTTCTCGGCTCTCGGGTGGCCTGGGGCAGTCAAATAAACGACGCGCGACGGAAAGTGGAGGAGGAGGAGGAGGAGGAGGAGGAGGAGGAGGAGGAGGAGGAGGAGGAGGATGAGGCGGAGGAGGGAGGAAGGTAGCAGGAGGAGGGAGCAGGAGGAAGGAGGAGGAGGGAGGAGGAGGAGGAGAGGGGAGGAGGCGGAGGAGGAGGAGGAGGAGGGGAGGAGGAAGGAGGAGGAGGAGAAGGGATGAGGAGGAAGGAGGAGGCAAGGCGGAGGAGGAGGAGGAGGAGGAGGAGGAGGAGGAGGAGGAGGAGGGTTAGGGGGAGTAGGAGGAGAGGAGGAGGCGGGGAGGAGGGAGGAAGACGGTGGAGAGGAGTCGGAGGAGGAGGGGGTGGAGGAGGAGGAGAACGAGGAAAAGGGAGGTGGGGGAGGGGGAGTGGAGAGGAGGAAGAAGGAGGAGGAGGGAAGGGAGGAGGAGGAAGAGTAGGCGGTGGATGAGGCAGGGGTGCAGGAGGAGAGGAGGGAGGAGGAGGTTGAGTGAGGGTAGGAGGACGAGAGGGAGGAGGAATGGAGGAGGAGGAGGAGGTTGCGGAGGAGGTGAGAGGGGGAGGAGGAGGAGGAGGAGGAGGAGGAGGATGAGGAGGAAGAGGAGGAGTAGGAAGCAGGAGGAGGAGGAGGAGGAGGAGGAGGAGGTAGTGGTTAGGGTGGGTGTAGGAGGAGGAAGATAGAGGTGGTGGTGGAGGAAGAGGAGGAGGAGGAGAGCAGGAGTGGAGGAGGGGAGGAGGAGGAGGAGGAGGTGGGGGGGAGGAGGAGGAGGAGGAGGGAGGAGGAGGAGGATAGGAGAGGTGGAGGAGGAGGAGGAGGAGGAGGAGGAAGAGAGGGGAGGCGGAGGCCGGAGGTGGAGGAGGATGGAGGCGGTAGGAGGAGGAGGAGGAGGAGGGGTAGGGGGATGATGATGAGGAGGAGGACACGGAGGAGGAGGAGGAGGAGAAGGAGGAGGATGAGGCGGAGGAGGAGGAGGATGAGGAAGAGTAGGCGGAGGAGGAGGAGGAGGAGGAGGAGGAGGAGGAGGAGGAGGAGGAGAATGAGAAGAGGCTGGCTCCTCGAAATTGTGGCACTGCTTGGTCAGGGTAATCGATCAGCTCGTTACATAACCAGGCCATGCCGTGCATTTCTTCGTGGAAGTGAAGGAGAAGCAGAAGAAGGGCCACACACCCAAGGGCAAAACGCCACGACCCCAGCAACCAGTGCGCTGACGAGGCTTAGCAGAGGCTTCCAAACCACCGCCAACGATGGCTGCCAAAACGATCGCTCGATCCACTAGCGGACAAGGTTCGGGGGGGGGGGGGAAACAACAGCGTCGCACAGTTGTACAGTCGAGCCATCGCGCCCAGAAGCAGGAGAAGGCTGTTGCCAAAACGAAGCATGTCAAACAGGAAATGAGCGCCACAAACGTGTGCCGAAGTGGGTGATTGACCGCGCTTCCAAACATGAGCTGGACCTTGAACACCGCACGGACGACAAGGGCATGGTTCGAGTAGTGGATCGGCTACAGAAGTGGTTTACCCCGAAATTGGTGTTCTCGTGATATCTGCGAGCGAGCTCAGAATCCCCAGCATCTTTACTGAGATTCGACGCATTCGTCGTAGCTCTGTCGCATGATCACATCAGCCTCTGCAGCATGAGGGCGCTGGCTGATGCCACTCGGGCCAGGGCATGGGCCAGGAGCTCGGGATCTTGGTCCCTGGGCAGATTGGTGACCTGGCATTAAGTCGGGCCTGCCCTTCTACAGGGGGAATATTCAAACCGAGTCAAGCAATAAACTATTGTTTGACCAGTTTGGCGCATTTAGGGTGTATTTCTTGCGTATTTAAAATTTGTCTCCCCAAATCCCACTGTATGGGGGACAGGCCCGACCTAAACCTGGCATCAGGGCACGGGGGAAGGGTTTTCGGAGCAGCGGGCTCCCAGCGCGCAGGCAGTTGTATGTCCATGCGAACGCAACCACCGATGCCGGCAGGCAATGCCTGGCAAGAGCGTTCGAGCTTGGTGGTCTGCCATATTTATCAGGAGGGGAAAAACACACAGACACAATTAATCGTCGACTCCCAGGAAAATATTGGAAACTATGGGAATTGGGTGGGAAGACAGAAACCCAGAAAATATGAGAAAATATGGCGAATCATTTTATTTGTGTGTATTTATTTGTGTGTCCTTGGGCCCCTTGAATTTGACCACCCTCGGTGCAGACCTTCCTGCGGAGGACGACAGGGGGCTGATGGTAAGAGATTCCTTCTCTGCGGCTGTCGATCGGCTGCGTGTGGAAGTGCGTGGCTGCGCAGACAGGTGTGGTATCCGACGTTGCTGGCATGCTGTGAAGACCGGGCCTCGCCGCCAAATTTCAGCCACGCGCAGAGGGGGGTGGGGGGAGGGGGGGGGGCTTCTTAGAAGCACCCATGCTTTTAGGGAGGGCGCCGGCTTTCTCTATAGATGCAAGGGGTGGCGCCTTCTAAGAAGCAGACTCCTTCAGGAAGCCTCCCCCTCCCCCACCCCCTTGTGCGCGCCGCCAAAAATAGTGGGCGACAGTCGGGGCCCTGAAGAAGGAACCCTTTTCGTTGGGGAGGGGCTCCGTGTTCCTTGATTGTTTCGCAGTTTGCCTTAGATTTTCCTTAGGTTTTCGATACGAAATCGAAGTTTAACTTATGGAAAATAGGGGCCTCCTCAAGACCCCGACTGTATCCGACGTTGCTGGCATGCTGTGAAGACGGGGCCTCGCTGCCAAATCGTGGGCGACAGTCGCCGCCGCATGTTGGTATCGGTATCATCGATAGCTCTAGCTAGTGGCAGGTTCTTCGAGCATTTGTTGCTCAAGGCAGTTGCAGATATACATACACACATGTTCCTCTTCCTATATTTTTATAAGCCCCGTTGGGGGGGACCCCCCACACAAAAAAAAACTGGACTCCCGGGATCTGGGGCCTTGGGACCCGCCGGACGGGCCTCGAAGCGGCCCCCCGGGCCTCGCAGGGCGTTTTGCCAAGCCTTCCCAGCACACCTAGGGCGATCAGGGGGGTCATCGGAGACGTCCCAGAGATCTTCAAGACAGCACAAGAGCGCTCCAAGAGTGACCGACGTGACCTCAAGATGGCCCAAGAGGCCTCCAGGACGGCCCGAAGGCTTCAAGAAGCCTCCAAGAGCACTCCCAAGAAGGCCCCACGAGGCACAAATCATTCATTTTCTGAGGTTTTTTGGTGAATTTTGGGGTTCTGCTCTTTTCGGACGCTCCAATACGGCAGTCTGCTGGGCGTCCGAAGCCGCCTGGGAGGCTCCAAACTCGCCCCGCAACCATCCGAAAGACCTTCCAGGCAGTCCAAGAGAGCCCCCAAACGGCACAACAGGGGTCAAAGATGGCCCTAAGAGAGCCCCATGGCGGCCCAAGACGGCCCCAAGACACCCTCCGAAGCATTCCAAATCGTGACCCGGTCGTTCAGGGAGACCGCGGTTGGAGGCAGGGTGGCCCGAGGAAGCCCCCAGAACCTCCAGAACACGCCCATGAGGCCTCCAAAAGGCCTTACGAAAACCTGAAACTTTTGTGAGGCCCCTAGAGGCTCTCCAAGGAGGAGCCTGCGCAAAAAGAGCTGAGGAGGATGGGGAAAATGCGCAGGGTATGGCGAGGACGAGGAACAAGAAGCATGGAGGAAGGATAACGAACAACATCATTTTTGCGGCGACGCTGGAAAAGGCAACAAGGAGGTGTCGCTAAATTGTCGGCTTGACCTTCCTGCCGTTCCGCCTGCATACCAAACTTCAAGGACCAAGTTGCATGGCGCGAAGCGCCACTGCAGTCTTGGGTGTGTGTATCTATATATATATATATATATATATGTTGCAGGCGAAGGAAGGGCCTCGGCGAGGCACCACTGCCCTGGGCGTCGTGGCCGGGAGAGGGCCAGTGAGCTCCGCATAGGCGTCGGCGAGGTCTGCCGAACCGCTCGCCTCCGAAGTCGGCAAGAAGTGCGCGCCGGCCTCGGCGAGCCGTTCACGCACGCGGTGCACGACCTAGCTTTGCTTGTCTCGTATCTCCACCCCTCCTCCCTCGTCGGTGGTTTCCTCTCGTTCCCCCTCCCCACCCGCTCCTCCGCAGCCGGCAGCGTGCTGCAGGGAGGGGTGGGCCGGGCCCTCCCCCCGAAGTCTCTGTTTTTTCCTTCTGTGTTTCACGGTTGTGTTTGGCCGTTTCATGGTTTTCGGGGACTTTTCAGACCGCACCTTCCCTCGCCGCGCACAGGGTGGGACGCCCTTGTGAAAAATCTAGACAGAACGAATCCAGAGTGTCGTTCGTAGTTTTCTCGATTTCACGCCTTTCGCCCGCGTACGCTGCTTTCCAGCCAACCGCCCGGAGTCTGGTGGGGTTCTTGGCCCCCCCACCGCTATCCCGCGCCTCTTTCCCCTTCGCCGCTCTCGGCGCGAACTAGCACAGTCCGCCGGAATGCACTGCGCGCCCGCGACCCTGAGCGCGCGCACGCCCTGATCCACGCCCCCGCGCAGCCCCACCAACGGCCAAAGCATCCAAAACGCATCGAGTTCCTCCCACCACCACGCTCCGCGGAGCGGATCGGTTCGCTTCCCGCTCGCGGGGCGCGGCGTGGCCCGGGAGCCCCTCGCCGCGACGGCGCCGCGCGAAATGTTCCCGACCGCCATGAAGGTCGCCCGCGGGGGCGCCACGTGCGGTGCCCTCGTCGCCACGCGCGTCGGGCTCGGAGCCCCAAAACTCCGCCGTCGCCGCTGCTCACGGCGTGGGCCCGGCAGGGCCTGGGCACCTCTCCCGGCAGCGGCTCTTCGTCCCGCGTCGTTCTCTCGGCCTGTCCCGGGGCCGGCCGACGGTCCCCAGAGGCCGGCAAGTGCCCAGCACTCCCCGCCGCCTCCGCCTCCGCCTCCTCTTCCTCCTCCTCCTCACCATCCTCCTGCTCCACCTCCTCCTCGTCTCTCCTCCTCCTCCTCCCCTCCATCATCTCCTTCTTCTCCTCTTCCTCACTCCCTTTCGTGTTTGACTCCTCCTCCTCTCCTTTCCTCCTCGTCTGCTCCTCCTCCTCCTCCTCCTTCGACTCCTCGACTCCTCGGCTCCTCGGCTCCTCGGCTCCTCGACTCCTCTGCTCCTCGGCTCCTCGACTCCTCGGCTCCTCGGCTCCTCGACACCTCAACTCGTGCTTCTTCGTGGCGAAGGCGGGGGTCGGGGCCGTCGCTCGCTCGGCTCAGTGGCCCCGGTGTCCGAGGCGGCCCGCGGCGCAGGGTCGGGGATCGGGCAGCGTCAGGGCGGCAGCGGCCGCCGCCGCCGGCCAGGCCCACGCAGAGAGCCAGGAGCATTTTTTCCTTCGGCGAGGACGGGTGCATTTTTCGTTCGGCGAGGACCGTCGAGGAGCATCCTTGATCATTTGGCGAGAAAACCACGCACGAAACTGAACAAAAAAACATGGAATGGACGTCCGAGCGATGGCGAGGGAGCGGTGGGTATACGCCGCCCTGGCCTCCTCCTCCGCCTCCTCCTCCTCCTCCCGGCCAGGAGCGGTGTGTAGATGCCGCCCTGGCCTGGCCAAGGCGGCGTGTAGACGCTCCTGGGCTCTGGATGGGCCTGGCCGGTGACGGCGGATCTGTGCAGACTCCGGCGCCCTGCTTCCTGCTTTTCCCGACCATCCTGTGGTGTTGGGTCCTGGTTTTGAAGAGACAGCGCCCCGCGTTTTTCCTTCCTCCTTCCTTCCTCCACCCCCTTCCTCCTCCCGTTACCGCCCTCACTCTTGCACACCCCTGACACGCTTCGTGGCCCCACAGGGAGCTCCAGCCCGCATGCCCCCCCCCGGTACAGCGCTTCGTGGCCGCATAGGGAGCTCCACCGAAGGCCCCACTGCTACCGCCCGCATGGGCCCTCCACACCCAGTACAGCGTTTCTTGGCCCTATGGGGAGCTCCTCCGACGACCCTGGTGCTCTTGCCCGCGTGTATCTCCCCCACCGAATACATCGCCTCATGGCCCCGTGGGGAGCTCCACCGAAGGTCCTAGCGCTACCGACCGCATGCGTCCCCCATACCCAGTAAGACGTTGTCCCAGCGCTACCGCCCGCATGTGTTCACCCTACCCAGAACAACGGTTCGTGGCCCCATAGGGGCTCCTCCGGGCTGCCACACTCGTCGCTCTCACACGACACAGCATGCGCGCCCATCTCACACCTGAGACAGAGTTTCGTCGGCCCCTTGAGGGGGCGGCCACGACCGGCCCATCACTGCTACCGCATCCGCCTAGATAGCGCCCACTCCCCCCTAACCCCCCCCTAGCGCCATGTTCGTGGCGCCCCATAGGGGGCTCCACCGACTGGCACCCGAGTGCTAACGCCGAGGCTCCTCCCCCCCACCAGTAGGCGTTTCGTGGCCCACTAGGGAGCTCCCGACGGCCCCCAGTGCTACCGCCCGCATGCGCCCCCCCCCCACCCAGTACAGCGTTTCGTGGCCCCCTACGGGGGGCTCCCCCGGCGCCGCCAATGGCACCGTCCGCATGCGTCCCCCCCCCCACACCCAGTGCAGGCGTTTCGAGGCCCCGTAGGGAGCTCCACCGAAGGACCCAGTGGAACTGTCCGCATGCGTCTCTCCCACCCAGTATAGCTTTTTTTGGCCCCAGAGGAGCCCCGCCGAAGGCCGCAATGGCACAGCCCACATGCGTTTCCCCCATCCAGTACAGCGCTGCGTGGCCGCATAGGGAGCTCCACCGAAGGTCCCAGTGTTACCGCCCTCATGCATCCCACCCACCCAGTACAGCGCTTCGTGGCCCCATAGGGAGCTCCACCGACGGCATCAGTGGAACCGTCCGCATGCGTCTCTCCCAGTACAGCGTTTCGTTGCCCCATAGGGAGCTCCGCCTAAGGCCCCAGTGGCAAAGTTCGCCCCCTCCCAGTGCAGCGCTTCGTGGCCTCGTGAAGAGCTCCACTGAAGGCTCCAGTGGCAAACTTCGCATGCGCCCCCCCACCCAGTGCAGCGCTTCGTTCGTGGCCTCATAGGGAACTCCACAGAAAAAGGATACTGACAACAGCGGGATTCACAACTGCACATGGTTGGGTCTTTTGCCAGGCTAATTGCTTACATGTTGCTTAGTTCGTTTTGTGAGGCAATCGTTTTCGACGCCTCAGCCAGAGTATACAATTGGGAGGAAGCATGCGTTCGTTGGCGACCGATTATTCTGCCAGCCCCTTGCCAAATCTCGATAGCGCACTGAGGACCCTCAACTGTTCACCAAAGGCACTGCCGCCAAAACAAAAAGCACCAGCCTCAGCATTTCGCATGCAGGGCATCTCCAGCAGCTGCGCCTCGCCGAGGGCGTCCTGTGGAAGCCCGGCTCTTCCCGAACGGCTGCCTGGGCGGGAGGAGGAGGATGAGGAGGGGGAGGAGGAGGAGGAGGAGGAGGAGGAGGAGGAGGAGGAGGAGGGGGCCCCCCCCCCCCCCCTCCCCGGAGGAGGAGTATTAACTATATTAAGAACAAGAATAAGAATAATACTGATACGAATAATCATTATACCAAGACTAAGGCGAATACGGATACGAGTCATAATAATCATATTATTATTACTATGGATACGAATAATAATACCAATTACCATGCTAAGACGAATAATACGAATAAGCATAATAGTATTACGAATGCGAATAAGAATAATAGTATGAACAATAACGATACTAATAAGAGGAGGAGGAGGAGGAGGAGGAGGAGGAGGAGGAGGAGAGAGGAGGAGGAGGAGGAGGAGGGAGAAGGTGCGAGGAGGAGGGGGGGAGGAAGAGGAGGGAGGAGGAGGAGGAGGAGGAGGAGGAGGAGGAGGAGGAGGAGGTGGAGGAGGACACGGAGGAGGAGATGGATGAGGAGAGGGAGGAGGAGAGGGAGGAGGAGAAAGAGGAGGCGCAGGAGGAGGAGAAAAAGGGAGAGGAGGAGGGGGAGGTGGAGGGGGAGGAGGAGGAGAAGGAGGAGGATAAGGACGAGGAGGACGACGAAGAGGAGCAGGAGGAGGGGGAAAAGGGGGCCCGGCGAGAGAGCAGCGGGCCTCCCTGGCGTCTTGCCTCTGTGCCTCGTGGGGGCTCCTGGAGGCTTTCTCGTCACCACGGCTGGATCCGCCGCAGAACTTTGGCCGGGAGGGGCCGTTGAATGGAGGGCTTTCTCCGAAGGGCTTAGGCGACCCGCCGTCCTCCTCCTCCTTCTCCTCCTACTCCTCCTTCTCCACCTCCTCCTCCTCCTCCTCCTCCTCCTCCTCCTCCTCCTCCTCCTCCTCCTCCTCGGGTCGCCTACGGCCCCGGAGGAAACCGTGCACCCCTGAAGGTGTCTAGGAACCGATGTGGGGCGGATGTGGACGTGGCGGGAGAGCCGCTTTTCTCGCAGCTGACCCTCCGAGCGACGGGCTTGGGCGTCTCCCTTTCGGGCAAGGTGTATATCCGTGTCCAGTGCGTTTTGGACTTTCTTGGGAGGGGCGCCACAAGGCCGAGTCGCACTGGATGTGGACAATAACCGAGCCTCTGGGGGGCAAACTTATCTATATCCAGGGCGCCTCGGGTTTCTGGGGAAGGGAGCCCGAAACTCCATACTATCGTGGATCTGGACAGGTATTGCCCGCATCCCTGGAAGCTCGGATCGGACGAAAGGGAGGGATGGTGAGGACAGGGGGGGGTACGAAATCTGTGTTGTGCAGCTGGCTTCGACCCCGCCTCCAGGCGCCTTCCTCGATACAGTGACGCTTCCGGCGCCGGGATGCACCAAAGAAATCAGATCTTCGAGAACCGCCGGATCTGAGAGAATTTCGGTTTATTCTCATCCGCTGTGATCCTCTGGCGTTAAGTCGGGCCTGTCCCTCTACAGGAGGGATATTCAAAAATAGTCAAACACAAGTATGGGGACGATTTGTTTGACAATTGTTGTGCAAGTTGATAGCTTTTTTGTTTTGAGTTTCTATATATATATATTGTGTATATATGTATATTTCGCCCAAAGTCCCCCTGTGGGGGGCAGGCCCGACTGAATCCTGGCGTCTTCTTATACCACCCCTACCTCGCCCGAATCGCGACTCGCGAAGCGGAGGCGTGCCGCCTCTTCCACCAGATCATCTCGGGCATCGAGAAGATACACAGCATGAACATCGTGCACAGGGACGCCCGTCGCTCTTTTGCGCTCTGCCGCCGCCCTGGTGCCTCCTCGCTCGCGGTGCTTCCGAGCTGCTGCCGGACGGCTCGCCTCAGAACCGCACGCGGCAGAGCAGAACGGTATGCTGCAGCTGCGCGGCCAAAGTTCAGGGCGTGCCAGCACGAGATTCTGGCAGTGGCAGCGCGAGGGGGTGGCAGGCTCGGGGGAGACCGAGGAGGAGGAGGAGAAGGAGGAGGAGGAGGAGGAAGAGGAGGAGGAGGAGGAGCAGGAGGAGGAGGAGGAGGAGGAGACCCCAGTCGCCCACTAATCGCCGAGAAGGGGCCCCCGTGCGGTGGCACGCGTGCCCCCCTCGCGGCCCTCCCGTCCAGGTCGCGGCCTCGGCGTTCGGTTCGGTGGCCTCCTGCTCGGGGTCCTCTCGTGAGAGGTGGGATGCGGGCTTTAAGACTACAGTCGAGGCGTTGACCCAAGGAACCCTAAATAAGGAATGAGGCCCCTCTTTCTCCATACATTGAGCTTCGCCTCCCCTATCGAAAACTTCAGGAAAACCTTAGGCAAGGTGAGGAACAAGTAAGGAACACCGAGCCCCTCCCCAACGCAAAAGGTTCCTTCTTCAACGCCCTGACTGTATCAGAATCGGGTTGACCAAAAAGGGGGTCCAGCGACAAGGGGGTGGTGCAACAGATTTGGTGCAACATATCTTTGGGGTTGCAAAACATTTGGGGCGTGCAAAACATTCCGGGGCGCAGATGTATGGATGGCTGGATTTTCGCGTACAATGCATTCGTTGCAATACAATGCGATACGATTCTCTGGTGCAGTACGTTTGCAAGACAATTGCCCCAAATCTATTGTATTGCACCACCCCATTGCAGCTGGACCCCCTTTGGGGTCACCCAAGGAGAAAGACCTCCCGACCCTGGGGAGACCAAAGGGTACCGATACCGCTACTCCCCAGACCTCTCCCGGGGTGCGTTCGACCAGGATCTCGAGGCGAATCCAGCGGTGGCGACGCGAGCCTCCGAGGAGGCCCCGAAAGGGGAAAGCGGGCGAAGGGTATAGGTATGGGTACCTTTTTCTCCTCCGAGATCCGCAGGAGGAGGAGGAGGAGGAGGAGGAGGAGGAGGAGGAGGAGGGGAAGGAGGAGGAGGAGGAGGAGGAGGAGGAGGAGGAGGAGGAGGAGGAGGAGCGGCCACCCCTGCTGGGTGTCCCGCCTCGTTTCCCCGACGAGGGACGCCGGCACGCCGCGGCCGCGGGGCCCGGAGCGTGCCCGTGCTTCCCTGGGTTGTATCCCGCCTCGCGCTCTCGGGCGGCTAGCATGAGTCGGGCCTGGGCCTCAACAGGAGGAATACAGTGGGGGCGCACATCAATCAAACGACGCGAAGATCGGGACAACATCGGATCGGGATAACTCAAAAAATCTCTGAGAATCGGCGGGTTCGGAGGATGTATTGGGCGCCGCGGCCGCTCCAGGAGCGCTCCAGAACGCTCTGGAGCGATTTATCCCGATCCTAGCCCTGTTTTATGAAGTCGGGCCTGTGCCTCAACAGGAGAGATACAATGGGGGCGCGCATCAAGAAACCATATGCTTTCCGTAAGGGTATCCTGGGTTTCTTCGCTCCCCGCGTTGCGCGGTGACTTCCCGCAGCCGTTGAAGGAGCTGCTGCGTTCAGGGTGTTCCAGGGTTCCCCTCAGGTGGTGCACCTCGCGCACGGGTTCTCAGGGTTGGATCTCTTGCGAGGGTCTCTTGCGGCCGCGCCCGCACTGAGTTCAAAAGGCGTCGAAACATAGTCTGGGGACGACGATTTGTTCTATTATGTTTCTGGATATCTTTGGATGTTCGTCCAAAATCCGCCTGTAGGGGGGCGCGCCCGACCTAAGGGTACCAAGATCTTGCGGCAAGGCTGGAGCCTCAATGCTTGGAGTCGGCGGCCCGTGGCGGATGGGCCTGCTCCGGACGGGGCCAGGACGAGGGTGAATCCGTTCCAGCGCGTTCGGGAACGCTCTCCGAGCTCTCCGGAGTGCTCTGAGAAGGCCGCGGCGCCCGAGACATCCTCTCAGGCCACGGCCACGGCCGCGGCCACGGCCACGGCCACGGCAAGGCACCTCGCAAGTGCCTTTCCAGGGCTGGCCGCAGGCACCTCCCAAGTGCCTTTCCTGGGCTGCCCGCAGGCACTGCACAAGTGCCTTCCCCAGGCGCTCGCAGGCACCTCCAAAGTGCCTTCCTGGGCTTCCCGCTGGCTGGCACCTCTCAAATGCCTTTTCCTGGGTTCCTGGGGCAAGGCCACGGCCACGGCAACGGCGGCCACAGCCACGGCCAATGCCACGGCCACGGCCACGGCCACGGCCAAGGCCACGGCCACGGCCACGGCCACGGCCACGGCCACGGCCACGGCCAAGGCCACGGCCACGACCACGGCCACGGCCACGGCCACGGCCACGGCCACGGCCGCCGGAGTCCCATCCTCATCGGCTTGCTTTCTCGGGGCTCTTGTTCGGCGAGGCGCAGTTGGAGGAGGGCAAGGCAAGGCAGAAGGATATACTTCGATAGAAAAGGGTTACGTGCGGAAGGTTTGCCTGTGGACGGCGACGGATTCGGCGGTCCCTGTAGTCCGATCTCGGAGATTCTCGATTTCTCTTCACTCGAATTGTTCCTCGCCCTGGCTTCGTCTTAACGCCATGGGCGCTTCGGGGGTCAGCGCTAACGGAGGTCAGCGCTGACGGATGTTCGGCGCTCCCGTTGTTTCGGTCTCCTCGTGGCATTTGCCGGATAGCTCGGGTGCCCAAGATTTCGATATAAGAAGTCACGTGCGGAAGGCTTGCCCGTGGGCGGCGACGGACTCGGCGGCCCCGCGAGCCTCCGCCCGAGCTCATCCTCGCGTGCTGTTAAATCGGGCCTGTCTCTCTACAGGAAAAATATTCAAACATGTTAAAGAATTATCGGGGTTTTATATTTTTACACATTTGTGCTATTCTTTCTAAATTTATCATCGAAAATCGGCCTGTAGGAGGGCAGGCCCGACCTAAGCGTACTGGCTTCAGTTCATGGGCCCGCTCGCGGCCACATCGGCCACCCCGTGCAGGGGGGGGGCGGCAGCCCGTGGCCCCGTGGGCAAACCAAAGAGGGCGCCAGCGGCGTGCTTTTTGCGACCATGCGAACAGGGCGCCCCGCGGCCGAGGAGGAGGAGGAGGAGGAGGAGGAGGAGGAGGAGGAGGAGGAGGAGGAAGAGGAAAAAGGAGGAGGAGAGAGGAGGAAGGAGAGAGGAGGAGGAGGAGAGGAGGAGGTGGAGGGGAGGAGGCGGCAGGAGGAGGAGGAGGGGGAGGAGGAGGAGGCGTGATTAGGAGGAGGGAGAGAAGCGGAGCGGAGGATGGGGAGGAGGACGGCGGAGGCTGAGGAGGAGGCGGAGGAGGAGTAGGCGGCGAGGAGGCGGAGGAGGAGGAGGAGGAGAAGGAGGAGGGGAGGGGGGCGGAGGAGGCGGAGGAGGAGGAGGAGGGAGGAGGAGGAGGAGGAGGCGGATGGAGGCGGATGATGAGGAGGAGGCGGAGGAGGAGGAGCGGAGGAAGGAGGCGGAGGAGGAGGAGGAGGAGGAGGAGGAGGAGGAGGAGTGAGGAGGAGGCACTGGAAGCGGAAGTGCGTGGAGGAGGAGGAGGAGGCGGAGGAAAGGGAGGAGGAGGTGGCGGAGGAGGAGGAGGCGGAGGAGGCGGAGGAGGAGGAGGAGGAGGATAAGGAGGAGGAGGAAGAGGAGGAGGAGCACGATTGAAGAGTCAGATGTGGGGAAGTCTCGGGCGAAGCGGCTGCCCGACCAGGCGGTCTCGGGCTCCCTGTGCCCCGTGCGGGGGACTCCTCTGCCGTCCGTGCTCACCACCGAGTCGTGCCTCGACGGTCCCGGGGCCCAGCGAGGGCCCCACAGAGGCCGAAAGGCTTGAAGCCTCACTCGGGGGCGGAAAAGATGGAAGTGATGACTAGGGGGGTGGATATCATGGTGGGGGCCATGATATGTCTCCAGATGTCATGCCGCCTCTTCTTATTTCATTACGTCCCTGGCCTCCCCGCTGGGCCGCGCACATGCCGCCGGTCATGATTTGCACCCCCCCCTCTTGGACACCCCCCTCTTGGCCGCTCCCGAAAAAAGGCTTGAAGCCTCACGTCAGGATGCCGTCGTCATGACCCGAGCGGGTCTGGGGGGAGGGCGGAGCATCAGCTCTTGGACTTGGTGTTGGAGGTCCCACTTGCCTCTAGAAGACCATGCGCCAAATGCAGTGTTCTTCCAAGATATTGGAAGAACACTGTATGTATATAAACAACGCGGCCAGCGCGTTCGACGCAATACCAGGGCTGGGGAAAAGGCTAGATCCGTCTAGGGTATGTTCCTTCTGGAGAGCAGATATGGCGATCCAGGCTAAGGGGGCTCCGCCCACTTAGCGGAGTGATCTACTTAGCCCCCTCGCCCCCTCCCCCTAAGCCATTTGGGGCAGGTGTAACCCACTTAGAAGCTAGCTTAGGCCAGATATAACTCACCTTGGCATCCACGAGCAACCCGCTATCTGCTTAGCCACCTCTGCGCCTATCCCAGCATACATGCTCGCGTCGTTTCATTGTGCTCGAGTGGGTGGGGCGGCCGCATGTGGACATGGCCACCGTGGCCTCCGGTGGAGCTCCCGATGGGGCCACGAAGCGTGGGAAGGGTGAGCCGACATGGGTGGGGCGGCCGCATGTGGTACGCCTCCCTGGGGCCTTCTGCGGAGCTCTCCATGGGGCCAAGAAATGTGCGAGGGGTGTGCCGCAATGGGTGGGGCGGCCGCATGTGGTATACCAGGCTTGGGGCCTTAGGGTGGAGCTCCCCATGTGGATACGAAACGTGTGTGTGTGTGTGGGGGGTGTGCAGACATGGGCGGGGCGGCCGCATGTGGTAGACCCATATGGGGCCTTGGGTGGAGGTCCCCATGGGGCCACGAGTCGTGCGAGGGGTCTGCCGAAATTGGCGGGGCGGTCGCGAGTGGTACACCCCCCTTGGGGCCTTCGGTGGGGCAGGCCTTGTGGAGCCAAGATACGTGTGAGGGCTGTGGCGAAATTGGCGGGGCGGCCGCATATGGTACAGCCCCATGGGGTCTTTGGTGGGGCCCCTTGTGGAGGCACGAAACGTGTGAGGGGTGTGCCAAAGCGGGCAGGACGGCCACTTCGGTGGAGCCCCCTGTGGGAGCCACGCAACGTGTGAGGGATGTGCCGACATGGGCGGGCCGGCCGCATGTGGTACACCCCCCTGGTGCCTTCGGTGGAGCCCCCTGCGGAGCCACGAAATGTGTGAGGGCTGTGCCGAAACGAGCGGGGCGGCCGCATGTGGTACACTCCCCTGGGGTCTTAGGTGGAGCTCCCCATGGGGCTGCGAAGTGCGTGAGGACAATGCCAAAGTGGGTGGGGCGGACGCATTTGGTACACCCCCCATGGGTGGGGCAGCCGCATGTGGTTAACCCCTTTGGGCCTTCGGTGGAGCTCCCGATGGGGCCTCGAATCGTGTGAGGGGTGTGCCGCACTCGTTGGCATGCGGAGAGCAGAGGTAGGCGTGGGAGGACGGAAGGGGAGAAAGAGGGGGAGGACGCGGGACGCTGTCGCTTCAAAACGATGACCCCGCACCACAGGACGGCTGGGAATTATCCTGGCGACGGGCCCAACCACGTGCGGTTGTGACTGCTGCAGTTCGGAATGTCGTTTACGGTGGAGCCCCCATACTGGGCCACGGCACTGTATCACCAGAACATTTTGGTGGAGCCACGACGCTCCTGAGGGGTGCGCCGCAATGGGCGGCGCGCGCATGCGAATAATGGCAGTGAGGCCTTCGGTGGAGCTCCCTGTGGGGCCACAAAATTTGAGGGGTGTGCCAAGATGGGCGGGGCGGACGCATGCAAACGGCACCGCTGAGGCCTTAGGTGGGTTCCCAATCAGGCCACGAAACATGTGAGTGGTGTGCCGGAATGCGCGGCACGGGCGCATGCGAACGAGATCATTGGAGTTTCCGGTGGAGCTCCCTGTGGGGCCACGAACAGTGTGAGGGGCGTGCCGAAAGAGGTCTGGGGTGCGTATGCGAATGGCACCATTGCGGCCTTGGGTGAAGCTTCCTGTGGGCAACGACGTGATGTCCTGGGCGTGTCCTGCCCGAGGCCGCCCTCGAGATTTGGCGAATGCAGCACCAGTTGAACGTGTTTGAGTGCAGCGACGGCACTTTGTTATAATGCTTGTGAGAAGTGCAAGGCATTACCACTGGCGGTCAGTTCAGAAACCTTCGTAAGCAATGTTTGGAACGGCCTGCCAGCAACTTCGCGATCTCGACCTGGTCTGGCCTCCTCAATGGACGGCGCCCAATCTTTCCCAGGTCAAGGTCGAGGCTTTTTCTCTGTTGGCGTGAGCTGCCATGAGCATAGCTGATGAAAACTCCTCCTCCTCCGCCTCCTCCTCCTCCACCTCCTCCTCCGCCTCCTCCTCCGCCTCCTCCTCCTCCTGCTCTGGGGGGCCAGGATCTGAAGCCAGAGAATCTGCTGCTGGACCACAACCACGCGGTGAAGATAGTGGACTTCGGTCTCAGCAACGTCGCCTCGGTAGCGTCGCAGGGTTTTTGTTGTGTAGCGTTTTCGCTGGTTCTCGGCGGCCTTCCAGCTTCGGGATGCCTTTCAGCGGTTGCGCCTTGCCGAGAGCGTTCCAGGGGGTGCCCCGATCGCCCCGAGCAGCCGCCGGAGGCTCGGGTGACGCCCCTTCTGGAGGAGGAGGAGGAGGAGGAGGAGGAGGAGGAGGAGGAGGAGGAGGAGGAGGAGGAGGGGGAAGAGGAGGAGGAGGAGGAGGAGGAGGAGAGAAGGGAGAGATGAGGATTTTTTTAAGTTTAAGCGGAAGGAGGAAGATGAGGGAGGAGGAGGAGGAGGAGGACGAGGACGAGGACCCGAGGACGAGGAGGAGGAGGAGGAGGAGGATGAGGAAGAGGAGGATGATGATGATGATGATGAGGAGGAGGAGGAGGAGGAGGAGGAGGAGGTGGGCCGGGCGAGCGAGGGAACGGGGTCGGAGGAGGGGAGGGGGGAGCGCGCGAGCGATGCCCGCGAAGGGAGGGCACCGGGAGGGGCGCAGAGCGAGGGGGGCCCCGGGAAAGGGGGGCGGGGAGAGGGCGATCGGCGGCAAGCGAGGTGGGGCGGAGCGAGGAGTAGAAGGCCCTCCTCTCAGAAGGCGCTGGGGCTTCTTCGAAGGCTCCCGGCCCGCGGAGAGGTCCTGCGGTGTCTTCGGGGGAGGCCTCGAGAGCTTCTCAGAGGGCCGGGGGACTTCCGAGCCTATTCTGAAGGCCCGCGCCTGCTCACTTCCCGCCCCCCGGGCTCGCCGCCAGAACGAGGGTCGGGGGCAACAACAGGGGGGGATAGGCATATAGGGGGGGATGCATCGACCCCCAATCGCCCATTGATCGCAGATAGGGGCCTGATGGCCCCAACCCGTCCAGGAAGGGGTGCGGATTCACTCTCGGGGGCCTATGGCCGATAGCCCAATAGCCCAATAGCCCATATAGCCCATACAGCCTTATAGCCCAATAGCCCTATAGCCCTATAGCCCTATAGCCCTATAGCCCTATAGCCCTATAGCTATATGACCCTATAGCCCTAGAGCCCTAGAGCCCTATAGTTCTAGAGCCCTATAGCCCTATAGCCCTATAGCTCTATAGCCCTATAGCCCTGTAGCCCTATATCCCCAATAGCCCAATAGCCCAATAGCCCTATAGCACTATACCCCTATAGCCATAGAGCCCATATAGCCCTATAGCCCCATAGCCCTATAGCCCTATAGGCGTATAGCCCCATAGCCCCAACACAAATCTGATTGGGTTTTTCTCCGGTATCATCTATATATGGATTGTAGCGAAGCGTTCTCCGTCGCGATCTTGTCATGAATCGCGGGGGTCTGGGCTCCAGTCGCGATTTGTTGTGCCTCGAGGGGGTCTCCGCTCCAGGATGGGCAGCGGGAGGCGGGCGCGGTGCAGCTCGGCAGCGGGGGGCGGGCAAGGGGCAGCGGGTCGCAGGCGATTTTTCCTCCTCCCCCAGCCGCCGGGTTCTGCCCGAAAGCTTGGCCGCTCAGGACAAGGGGGGGAACCTTGGGATACACCCCAGGGGGGCTACGGTAGGTTCGCGCGGCGTGGACGTGCTGGCGACGCCGGCGAGAGCGTCAGAGGTGGACCTCTGCAGCGCGGAGGCACCGACGGGCAGGGTGATGCCACTGGACCCGACTGGATTCAGCCTTGAACAATCGGGGCCGCGATCGATTCAAGATTGAGCGGTCAGCGCGGTGTCAAAATCCTCTGCGCGCGCCGACGCCGCGCGGAACTGCCGCACTCGGACGCACCCCAGTTCGAGGGGGGGCGCCCCCCCCCCCCCGCTTCCGTCTCCCAGGGGTGGGCCCACGGAGTAGTTTCGGGGCCTTTCGGAACAGTCACGGAGCCCGGGAGAGGGGTCGACGCATCCCTGGGCCACTAGGGGGGGACTCTAGGTCTCTTAGACGGGTCGGAGCAGATGGGGCCGGAGGATCGCGCCGCCCCGCCCATTCGCAGTCGTGCATCGACGATCGATGCGGCCTTCGTCATGTGGAGACCGATCCTCTCCACGCCGGAGTCGGCGATGCACTGCCCGGTGTCGACGAGGCATCGCAGATGCAATCATCCACGGTTTTTTTTGCATCCGCGATGCATCACGAATGCGGCGCGATCCCGCGATCCTCCGCGCCATCTCACGCGGACCCATCCGGGAGGGCCTCGAGTATCCCAGGGGTGGGACCAGGATTGGGCCCCCCAGAGACTTACCAGAGACTTCTTTCGGGAACCCAACGAAACCACGACGGCCCGGGAGAAGAGGAAGAGAGGTCAGAGAGGTCGACGACTCACGGGGCGACAACCCGAAGGGGGGTAACCTGGGATACGCCCCCAAGGGGGCTACTCTCAGGCGATCGCACAAACATGGATCAGGGGGCAGTTTGATTAGTGAAGGGTCCGTTTCCGTTGGAAAAAAGGGAAATTGCGGGATCTCCGCCGCCCGAACGAGGCGACAATTTTTTTGTGTTGTGTTTTTTTTTTTTTTTTGTGTCATTTCATTTGGCTCGTTGAATGTTTTCTTTTGTACTTTTCCTGTGGGCCGCTGGTGTTTTATTATCGCATTCGGGGAGAGGCACTCGGTCGATCAAGTGATTTGAGACCCGCGCGCCAAATCCAATTGGATCGCTAATCTATGGTTGCGCGCCCCCGATACTCGGACGCACCCCCATCGAGGATGGGCCCCCCCCCGCAGTGTATCCCAGGGGTGGGCCAATGGAGTTTTTGGGGGGCCGCCATGAAAACACACCATGAGAAGTCCGAGAGAGGGGTCGACGGGGTCGACACCACCCTGGGGGTTGCCCCCCCCCCCCCCCCCATCGTGTATCCCAAGGGTGGGCCCATGGAGTTTTTTGGGGGGGCCCTTCGAAAACACACGCACAATGAGAAGCCCGGGAGAGGGGTCTACACTTAAGTCGGGCTTGTCCCTCTACAGGAGGAGCATTCAAAAATGGTAAAAAATAGTCGGGGGACTCTTTTTTTCAGTATGTTTGAATCTTTTTTTCATATTTTTGGACTATGTTGCATTTTTCCTCGAACATCGGCCTGTAGGGTGACGGGCCCGAACCAAGTCTACGCCTCCCCTCGTGGGGTGGGGGGGGCGTGGAGAGGGGGGGACGACGGGCGCGGCGCAGCGAGGCCCGGCCTGCCCCGCGCTCCCACCGCCCACCAGAAAGAGACAGGGCGCGGCGCGCGCGGGCGCTCCTCGCGGCGGCCGCCCTCTGGGGTCCCCGCACGCCTTGGGGCAGGTCGCGCGGTGCACGGGCGGACGTGTGCATGTTTTGAGCCGTTCTTGATTCCGTTCGAACTTTTCTAGTATTTGTTTGACTCCTCTAGGAGGCCACATGCGAACCCTACCCCTGCCCACCACGATTTCTGAGGGGGAGGGTGGGGTTCATTTCGTTCGGGAGCTCTCGAGCGAAGTGAGCCCCACCCTCCCCCTCGGAAATCGTGGGGGGCAGGGGTAGGGTTCGCATGTGGCCCCCTATCCTCTCGCTTCGCGGGGTGCACGTCCGAAGCACGTCCAGTCCAGTTGTTGCGAGGGCTCTGCGGAGCTTTTTTGGGGGGCCTCTTGGAGGTGTCTTGGGGGCTTCTTGGGGCCTCTTCTGCACTGGGCTTTTTTGGGGCCTCTTGGGGCCTCTTGGGGGCGTCTTGGGCCGTCTTGGGGCGCTCTTGCGGCGTGTGGCCCACTCGGAGGCCGGTCTGGGGGCCTCTCGCGGTCGTTTTGGGGCTTCCTTGGGGTCCTCTTGAGTTGGGCCGTCTTAGGGCCCGCTTGGGCCGTCATGGAGGCCTTTTGAGTGCTTCTTGGGCCGTCTTGGGGCCATTTTGGAGACCGTCCTGCGGCTTTCCTGGGCCGTTGCTATGGTTTCTGGGGCCTTCGTGGATCGCCCAAAAGCCGTCTTGGAGCCTTTTTGGGAGCCTCTTCGGTTGGCGAGGGTCGATCTTGGAGGCTTCTTGGGCCGTTTTGCGCCGCGTGGAAGCCGAATGGGCGAATGTGGTGAAAGTGTACGTTTTCCATGGGACTTGTGACGATTTTTGCTTCTGGAGGGCCTCTTTGGGGCGCCTCGTAATATAGTTTCAAGTCTTGGGGGCTTATGGAGCTGTGTGGAGGCAATCTTCGGTGTGTTGGGGCGATTTTTCCTCGATTCGTAGCTCTCTTGGACCCTTCCGGGGACCTTTGAAACCTTTTTGGCCCGTTTTGGGGCCTCCTGAGGCTCCAAGTGTGCGGATGATGGATTTGCCTCCCACCCCCCCATCCCCCCCCTCCAAACTGGCCGGACCAGGCCCCCGGAGGAGGGTCTAGGGAGGGGGAAGCATCTCACACGCCGTGACCCCAAGGGGTCGGCGGATTTTTCGTCCCAGATCCCTCTGTGGGAGGACATGCCCGACCGAACGGTAATGACGGGGTTGCCGAGGAAATAAGGGCGGAGAAGTGTCAACCCCCCATTCTGCAATCGGTGCTTGCACTGAGGGGTCCTCGCGGAAATTGAAAGATTCGACGAAAGTGTCCCGCCGATGTTGGTGGCCGGCTGGGTTCCCGGGTTCCCCGTTCCGGGTTCCCGGGTTCCTGGCTATCGGTTCCGGGCCGATTTCGGTGGGTTCCGGGTTCCTGGGCTCCCGGATTCCCGGTCCATCTCCCAATCGATCTCTTTATCGATCCCACGGTTCATCAAACCATCTCCTGATTGTGTTTTTTCTTTGGTGTAGTTGTGAAGCAGGTCGAGCGGTGCACGGGCGGGCGTGTGCACTGTGTTCTCGGCGAGTACCCTCGAGGAGATTCCTGGATCATCGGACGAACCAGAGGAAAACACACGCACGACATCGGAGCACGCACGGGGAGTGGCCGTCCGAGCGATGGAGAGGCGAGCGGTGAGGCGTGGGTGCGGGCCCGATCCCCCTACCTCTAGGCCCCTCAGATGGGGTCGGAGCAGGTCCGTGGATCGCGCAGCGTCGCCGACGCGTCGGCGATGCGGCTCGATGCGGGGCCCGATGTTCGCCGCGCCGACGGCGGCGATGCGGCGCGATCCTCCGACCCCCTAGCTGGACCCCGTCAGGGAGGCCTCCACCACCTCCTCTCGCGGTGGAGAATAACGACGGGCGGCTCTTGCCGTTTGTTGGCCTCTGGGGCGGGGGCCTCGCCAGGCCCCGGGACCATCAGAGGACGACTCGGGAGGAAGAGCTGGTCCTGGGGAGGGGGGCTCGGGAGGAAGAGCTGCTCCCGCGGGAGGGGTCCAGACCTCTGGGCCAGAGTGACATGTGGTGCCTGGGGGAGGAGGAGCAAAAGGAGGAGGAGGAGGAGGTCAGGAGGAGGAGGAAAAGGAAGAGGAGGAGGAGGAGGAGGAGGAGGAGGAGGAGGAGGAAGAGGAGGAGGAGGAGGAGGAGGAGGAGGAGGAGGAGGAAAAGGAGGAGGAGGAGGAGGGGGAGAAGGAGGAGGAGGAGGATCTCTGGGGGCACGCGGGGGCCCCCAGAGGCCCGAACACGCCGCGACCGCGGCGGCGTGTGCGCTGGGCTTCGCGAACTCCCCGCGGCCACCCGAGAGCCGCGCACCGGAGGGCACGATTGCCCAGGCTCACTCTTGCGTGTACGGTAGGTTCGTGTCGTGCCGACCCCAGCGTTGGTTTTTGACACCGCAGGGATCGTTCAACCTTGAACGATCGGCCGCTGCCGCAACGTCCGATCGTTCAACATCGATCGATTCTGGGTCGCCAGCGGCGTTCAACCTTGAACGCCCGGTGGGGTCGCCGCTGGTCGACACGACGCGGTAGGTTCGTGTCGTGTCGACCAGCGGCGACCCCGCCGCCGGAGTTCAACGTTGAACGCCGACGGCGACCCAGAATCGATCGATGTTCAGCGATGTGGCGTTTCGGAAACGGCCGCTCGTTCAAGGTTGAGCGATTCCCGCGGTGTCAAGAACCATCGCCTGGGTCGACACGACGCAAACCTCCGGGCCGAGTTGTAACAATCGAAAGCTGGGCGAGGGCTGCTGAAACCGTAGCTGCTAAAGCGGCCCTCCCAGAAGGAACAAAGCAACCTCCCGGCATGAGGCGCGGCACGCGAAACAGTCCACGGGCTTCTTCCCGGAAGGACGCAGACAATTTCCTGGAGGTCGATTTCAGCAGCCACGGATTTGGCAGCCCTTGCCCGGCTTCCGAAACAAGGTCTTGTCGTCGGAGTTCTGGGGGGACCAGGATGCGTCGCCCCAGAGCGTTGCGGAACGCCCTCGGGAGGGCTCCGAGGCGCTCCAGCACAGCCGCGGCGCCCGAGGCGCCCTCCAGAGCCGCCGGAGCTCGGAGATTCTTCGTTGCGTCGGCGTGGCGCACTCGGGAACCGGGAGGGCGAGGAAGGGTGCACCCTTCATGCCCTGGAGAGGCCCTAAAGGAGCTCCCTGGGACCCAAAAAGGGTCATGAAGGGTTCCCCCCTTGAATCGCCCCCCCCATGCAGCAACGCCCGAATGTGCCCCGATCCGATATTGCGCCGATTCTGGCGTCGTCGCGCGCATGGGGGAGATGCCGGCTCGTGCTCGCGTCTCGCGGGCTACGTCCGCCCAGGGGGCGGTGCAGCTCGCGCGCGGGAGCAGGGAGGCAGGAGTTCGAGAAGATGCTGAAGGCGTGGGACGAGCCTTCATTGTGCCTCCGCCTTCGCACCGTCTGCTGCCAGATGGTGCAAGGCTCTGCCTGACCTGGCCCTTGGCGTCGCTCATGCGTGCGCATGTTCTCGGCGAGGGTCATCGAGAAGCATCAGTACCAGTATGTCTTTGTGCGTCGCACAAGTCTTTGGGTGCTCCTGACTCCTCCCTGGCCGTCCGACGGCCTCCTTGAAATACCGAGGGCCTCAGGGGTGGACTTCCAGCGAGAGGGGCACGAGAGCAGGAGGAGGACGAGGAGGAGGAGGAGGAGGAGTGGGAGGGGGAGGGGGAGGGGGAGGGGGAGGAGGAGGAGGAGGAGGAGGAGGAGGCGGAGGAGGAGGAGTAGGATGATGATGAGGAGGAGGAGGAGTTGGAGGAGGAGGGGACAGCACGACGCTCCTCGGAGTAAGCTGCATCCGACCCAGTGGGCTTCTACCCCCGCGCGGGGCGCTACAGGGCATGTGTGTGAGAGAGAGAGAGAGATTGTGTGTGTGTGCGTGAGAGAGAGAGAGAGAGAGACATAATGATAATGAGTGTGTTTGTGTGTGAAAGCGTGAGAGTGGGAGAGAGAGAGAGAGAGAGAGATTGTGCGTATGTGCGTGTTTGAGAGAGAGAGAGAGAGAGAGAGAGAATGAGTGTGAGAGAGAGAGTGTGTGTGCGTGTTTTTTGTGTGTGTGTGTGTGTGTGTGTGTGTGTGTGTGTGTGTGTGTGTGTGTGTGTGTGTGTGTGTGTGTGTGTGTGTGTGTGTGTGTGTGTGTGTGTGTGTGTGTGTGTGTGTGTGTGTGTGTGTTTGTGTGTTGGTGTGTGTGTGTGTCTCTCTCTCTCTCTCTCTCTCGTTGCCGCTCGCCACAGCAGCCCCTCCCCTTTCCCCCCCCGGCGACCGAGGTCTTCCGCGAGGGGCAGCTCCTCCGGACGGCCTGCGGCTCCCCGTGCTACGCGCCCCCGGAGATGATCTCGGGCAATCCGTACCTGCCCCGAGGCTCGTCGTCGTTGTCCGATTCGCTGTTTCTCGGGAGCCTTTAGACAGACGGGGATCCATGCAAACGGGGGACGTGTCGAGGAATGGGCCCGGCGGCGGGGCCGAAGCCAGCTGCGTGCAGCAGATTTCGTGCCCCCCCCTGTCCCATATCCCCCCCTTTCGCCTGGTCCGACAGGAACGTGCCTGGCCGGCGGCGAGCACGCCACGATCCCAGAAGCAGAGCTGTCGCCGTCGTCGGCGGCGGCGTCGTGGGCCTCCCGCGTGCCCGATCTGGCCGATCTGGCAGGATCTGCAGGGCCAGGGTCGCACTGACCCGGGTTTGGGTGCAGGGTCCTGCAGGATCTTGCAGGGTCCCTCGCGTGGACCCGGGTTTGGGTGCAGGATCTTGCAGGGCCTTGCAGGCTTCTGGAAGGCCTGACTGGCCTGGGTCAGGATTGACCCGGGTCAGAAGGTCCCCGAGTTTTGCCGATCGGCGCGGGCCTTCGCGACCCCTCTCCCTCAGGGGCAACGGTAGGGGGGAACAGGCACAGGGGGGATACATCGACCCCCAATCGCCCATTGATCGCCGATAGGGTCCCGATGGCCCCAGCCTGCCCAGGAAGGTGCGGATTCACGATCGGAGGCCTGTCGCCGATCTATCGGTGATGTATCGCCGATTCCAGGTCGATGCATCCCCCTCTATGCCAGTCCCCCCCTATCGTTGCCCCTCACTCCCCACCCCCACGGAGCAGATCTTGGCTGTCTCTGGCGCCGCCCAATGTCGAAGCGCCGAATCAGGAAAGGCTCACCTCCCCGCCTGCTCCGGGGTGCTCCCTCCTCTCGTTGTGGAGACGACCACGGCTGCTCGGCAGCACATCGCGGGGGGGGTTCGTGGACCTTGGTGGTGTAGATCCTGGAGTGCGCTCCGCGGTTCTCCTGCCTCTCGTGGTGGACAAGGCCATGTCGGCTCGGTAGCGATTCGTGGGGGCCTCGTGGAGCTTCGCAGTTTAGCCTCTGGAGTGCGCCAGCGCCGATTCGCGTCTGGTGGTCGATGAGATTGCGCCGATTTGGCGTCGACTCGCGTCGTTCAGCGTCGATGTCGCACGAGCCAAGAGCGTGGTGTGGGAGGCTCCCGTGGGTTGCCGCGGAACGTCGGGAGGAGGCTCGTCATCTGAGAGGGCAGCGTCGGGAGGGGTGTGATGAAGTCCTGAGGCTGCAGGTGTTCTCACGTCTTTTCGTGGCTGTATTCGCTTGAACACGTGAGGTCAGAACGCACTCCGGGAGAGGTCCGGGGAGTAGCTGTCGGCGCCTTTCGGTTTCCCTGGGCTCTCCCCCTCCCCCCACTCCTTCCGCTGTGAGACGACAAAAGAACGGGAGGAGGCTCGCAGGAAACACTTTGTTTTGCCCCCTGGCGATAGCGAGCGTGGCCGCAGGGGGCGGCGGGGGGGGGAGAGGGCCGGCCACGCCATGACTCGCGCTGGCGCCGTCCTGGAATTTGTTTAGGAATGGTTTTAAGTCGGGCCTGTCCCTCTACAGGGCGAATTTTCAAATTTAGTCAAAAAATAGTATGGGGATTTGTTTTGAGTATTTTTGTATCTTTTGAATATTTTATTTTTCGTCCACAATCCCCCTGTGGGGGAACAGGCCCGTCCTAAGAATGGTTCTCCCCCAGACGACGCCGGCGCGAATCGTGGCGTTGCCAGGGAGGGGGTACTAGCGGGGGGCGGTGGGGCCAGTGACGAGCGCTGTCGCGAAGGAAGAAACATATCTATCTATCTATCTATCTATCTATCTATATATACACGTATATATACGTGTATATATACATATACATATATATATAGAGAGACATACATATGTGTAAATTTATATATTATATATATATATATATATATATATAGTCACGTTCGAAGGGCCAGCGTCGGAACCTTGATTGATGTTGGGTGGTGGGGCCAGTAACGAGCGCTGTCGCGAAGGAAGAGAAAAACATTCACGGTCGAAGGGCCAGCGTCGGAACCTGGATTGATGTTGGAGGTTCGCGGGCGCTCTCCGGGGCGGTCGGCGGCTTTCCTGCCTCAGGGCGTGTGGAACCGCAGCTGCAATTCGCAGAGAGAGAGAGAGAGAGAGAGCGCTCTGGGGGTGCCCGGATCGCCGGCTACGTTCTGGACGTCCTCCATTGTCCCCACCTTAAGGTCGGGCCTGTCCTCCTACATGAGGATTTTCAAAGTGGGAAATAGTCAAAACATATGCAAACATGGCCAAACATATCAGAACATAGTCCCCAGGCTATTTTTATTTCCTGGTCACTTTTGAATTTTCGTCCTGTGGAGGGGCACGCCCGACCAAAACCCCACCTCGCTCCGTTGTGGAGCAAGCCGAAGGAGCACATTTGCCCGGACCGTGCCGTTTCGGAGGCCCGCGCGGGCGTCCTGGATCGGCGCCGCTCCCCCCTTCTGCCGCTCTTTCCTCGCGAGGGAAAGGAGCACACAGACACAATGAGTCGTCGACCCCCAGGAACTATTGGGAAAATGTAGGTAGTGGGGGGGAAGACGAACGCCCCACAAAAACTCTGAGAACATGTGCGGAATCTTGTTCACTGTGTGTGTGTGTGTTTATCTCTGTGTCCCAGGGCACCCTCATTTTCAGGGGCACCGAATTCGGGGGGGTCGTCTCGACACCCGAGCGCCCACTGACCGCGGAGAAGGCAGGGCCCGGGAGTGCACCCCCTGGCCCAGGGTTACGTCGGGCACGTCTTTGTACAGGAAGAAATTCAAGAGTAGTAACAATCAAGACGGGAAAAAAAACCACCAAGGCCGGACACTTGGCATTTACTAAACGGCCCTGGGCGTTTACTAAACAGCCCTGCCCTGTTTGATTCTTTCTTTGGGTGCGTTTACTAAACTGCTTCGCCTGTCGGGGTGGTTATTCTCGGGGTGGATTTTCTGCCCTCCAAAAACAAGCAGGGGATGACTTCCAGCTATTTCGAACGTGTTGAATATATATATGTTACCATGCTTACTTGTTCTTCCAAGATCCGCCTGTAGGAGGACATGCCCGACCTACAGTGCCGTTTTTAATACATGCTCCGCGTGCGGATCATGTATACAAAATGTAGGGATTTAGTATTAAAAACAACAATGAGTTCAGGTATACATGTATTCATAACTTAAAATCATTATTTAAATTCCATATCTTCAGACATCCAATGTATTAAACACTGCCCTGTAAGCCCAGGGCTGCGCGGCACGGTTCTCGAGGGCCTCTCGCCGACCCGGCGGAGACGGAGGCCTGGGTCGACGCTTCCCCCCCCCCCCGCCCCCCACGGCCGGCCTCCCCTTCTTGAGGCTCCCCCGCATCTCTCGCTGCCCCTCCTCGCTGTCCTTCTCCCTCCTCCTCCCTCCTCGCCCTCCTCGTCCTCCTCGTCTTCCTCCCTCCCTCCCTCCCCCCTCCCTCCCTCCCTCCTCCCTCCCTCCCTCCTCCCTCCCTCCCTCCTGGGAAGGTGCGCGCGGAGCCTGCCCAGGGTGGCAGGCTCGGGGGAGGACGAGGCCGCAGCGTGCAAGGCAGGGGGGCTCCGCGGCCCAGGGGGCGGGGATGGGGGGGCCGGCTGGCCAGGGCGGGCGAACCCTTCTCGTTTGGGAGGGGCTCCGTGCTGCTTGGTTGTTTTGCAGTTTGCCCTGTGTTTTGTTTTCGGTGTCCGATCGGAAATCGGAGTTGGGCTTATGGAAAAAGGGGGGCCTCGTTCCTGATGTATCGCTCCCTAGGTCACCGCCCCAATCGTATTCCCTGGGCAGAGCGCCGAGCGCGCGGCAGCTCCGAAGTGATGTCCTGCGTTTGCTGTGCGTCGGGGAGTTGGGGATGCTGCCGCGCCTTCCCGCAACAGAGTTACTCTTCTCTCAGCGGGGCCCCTCTGCCGCTGCTGACGGTCACGCGGTCCGATGTGTGAAATGTTTGGGAGTTTTGCGGCGGTTCCGACCGGCTTTCCAGCTTCGGTATGCTTTCCCGCCTCTCTTTGGCTGCGCATCAGTTTCGCCGCGGCGCGACAAGCTGGTGAGTATCCCACCTCCCAGCCCGTATCCCGCCTCCTCCCGCTCCTCGACGCTTCTGACTTTGACGCCTGCGAAGCTGTTCCGAGGCGGGGTTTGATCGGAGGTTGATAGACCTCCTACCCTGACACGTCGATTAGCGAATTGGCCGTTTTCGGTTCGCGAAAGGGCGTCGCGGCCGTCAGTTTTGGGGGTCCAGGTCCGTCGGTTTCGGTGCTAGGCCGTTCTCTTAAAGGGTGGTTTACGAAAGGGAGGTTTGTCCACCGCCGAGTTGATCCTCAGCCAGCGCCCAGCGCCCGGGGGATCGATTGTCGGGGGCTCGACAGGTGGATCTGGATGCAGCGAAGGCCCTGTGGCCGGTGCAGCCGACCCTGAAGGTGGGCCCTCCCCTGGGCCCCCGGCTGGCGACCCCCCCCTTCGATGCTCGTTTCGGGGACCCTCTTGGGGCCCACCTGATGTATCTGTTCGACCCCAGCTCGACTCAAGTTCGACTCAAGTTCGACTCAAGTTCGACGCAGGTTCGACTCAGGTTCGACTCAGGTTCGACTCTGGTTCGACTCAGGGTCGACTCACATCGACAGACGTTCGACGCAGCTTCGACGCACGAGTGGAGCGAGTGTCTCCAGGAAGGTCCTCTAAATGAGCATCCAACCCCCCGTCACCCTCATCGGGGCTTGAGAGACGGGGGTCAACGCAACTGGTGGTCAGTCGGAGCGCTGGGATCTTGCAGGATCCTGCGGGGCCGGGATTGCATTGACCCGTAGTTGCGTGCAGGAGTCTGCAGGATCCTGCAGCATCTTACAGGATCCTGCAAGGCCTGACCAACCCTGGTCTGGACTGACCCGGGTCAGAAGATCTTCGCCCTTGCACCCCACTTCTTGCATTCCCACCTCCCAGCGGCAGGGAGGGGATAAGAGGAAGGCAGTCGACCCACCTACGACGTTTTATGTTCCTTGTCCCTGAAATTCTTTGGGAGTGACGGAGACGACGACAGGACGCTGACGACGACAACGACGACGACGTCGACGACGACGACGACCACGACCACGACGACGGCGACGACGACGGCGGCGGCGACGACGACGGCGACGATGCCGACGACGACGAAGACGACGACGTCGACGACGACGACGTCGACGACGACGACGAAGACGACAGCGTTTCACACACGCTGCAGGGACGGCGGATGCGGTCAGGCGTAGGGGGGGGGCAGCTGCCGAAGTCCTCGAAGATGGATCCCCGGGGCGGTGCGTACGGTAGTTTCGCGCGGGGTCGGCGCGCGCAACGGATTGTGACACCGCGTCGATCGTTCAACCTTGAATCGATCGCGGCCCCGATCGTTCAAGGTCGAAATCCGTCGGGTCCAATGGCGTCACCATGTCCCTCGGTGCTTGCGCGTCGCAGAATTCAACCTTGAACGCCTTCGCTGGCGTGCTGGCGGGCCATTGCCGCACGAACCTGCCGAGGCTGCGACGGGCAGCGCGTCGCCGAGGCAGAGGTGGTCGGAGGTTGCGGAGGAGGTCAGAGTGAGGGGGCCGAACAATCTCACACACGTGATCGTTTTCTTATTCATTGTCTTGCCGATCGGCGCGGGCCCTCGCACTCCCCCTCCACCCCCCCACCCCCACGGAGTAGATCTTGGCTGTTTTTGACGCTTGTTTTGAGCAGGCGGAGCCCCCCACTTAGGACTCACAGTTCCAAACAGTCGCACTAAGCAGAGGTCCGGAGCCAAGCCCCCCTTCCCCCCCCCTTCCGCCCAAATTCGAAACGCCGAATAAGAAAACGCTGATTTGCACAATACATCCATTCATCAAAGATCGAGGCTTCGATGGACAGCACGTCGCCGAGACAGGAGTGGCACTTGGCGGCGATTCCAGGCACCAAGCCACCCGCGCCAAGACCCAATTGCACCCCCTGTGTCTTATCCGCAGCTGCGTGGGGCTGAAGAGGAGGGAGGAGGAGGAGGAGGAGGAGGAGGAGGAGGAGGAGGAGGAGGAGGCGGAGGAGGAGGAGGAGGAGGAGGAGGAGGAGGAGGAGGAGGAGGAGGAGGAGGAGGAGGTGGAGGAGGAGGAGGCGGAGGAGGAGGAGGAGGAGGAGAGGAGGAGGAGGGAGGGAGGGAGGGAGGGAGGGAGGGAGGGAGGGAGGAGGAGGAGGAGGGAGGGAGGGAGGGAGGGAGGGAGGGCGGGGGTGCGGGAGGGAGGAGGGAGGGAGGGGGGAGGAAGGAGGAGGAGGAGGAGGAGGAGGAGGAGGAGGAGGCGGAGGAGGAGATGATGATGAGAGAGGAGGAAATGGGAAGGGAAGGATTGTCCCAAGCGCCCGCTCCTCGCTCGAGGAGCTGCTGGGGACGGGGAGGAGGAGGAGGGTCGAGGAGGAGGAGGAGGAGGAACCTCGAGGAGAAGGAGCAAGGGGGAGGATGATAAGGATGAGAAGGAGGAGAAGGCGGAGAAGGAGGAAGATGAGGAGGAAGAGGAGGAGGAGGAGGAGGAGGAGGAGGAGGAGGGGCCTCCTCTGCTTCTAGTTGTCCACCAGCGTTCCAGGTGCCGGGCGTCGGGCTCCCGTCCAGCCGCTGGGTCCGGTGGTCGTGGTCGAAGTACACTCGCGCGGCGGGGGGGGGGGCGGCGGGGGCCGCGCCGCCGCAGGCGCGCACGGGGCCGGATTTCGTCCTGGTCCGAAATCCGGGGTCATCCAGCTTGCTCCGAAGCTCTTGTTGTCATCGCCCCCCCCCTAAAAAGCAGGACCCGCCTCCAAATACACGACTTGATGTTCCGGAGCCCCCTCTGCGACGGGGGTCCTTGAGAAACCGAACCCCTTAAGCTCCAATCCAAAGAAAGCGCCCTAATAAACCGGGCCCCCCCCAGTTACCAAAAAGGCGCCTGAAAATACCAGACCCGGGGGAAGATTAATAAGGGATTTGGAAGAATCCCGCTTAATCCGGCTTAATCCCGTTAACCCCGCTTAGTCCGGCTTAATCCTGCTGAGTCCGAGGCCCACTCCGGCGGAACAGCTCCCAAACCGGGCTTCATACGCCTTAATCTTTCCGACGAAAGCCTCCCAGTAGTTGCCTCCGAACAGGCTGCGACCTCTGGAGCGCGGGGGTCATCCTCTTCGCGGTCGTGTGCGGATACCTTCCCTTCGAGGACCCCAGCACCGCCGAGCTGTACAGGACGGGCGGGCGCGGCGACGGCGCCGGGGAGGGGGCGGGCGGAGGAGGGCTGGGTGCTGATGCCGCTGCCCGGGCCGAAGGAAAGGGGTGGATAGGGAAAGGGGGGGGCTACGAAATCTGCTGCATGCAGCTGGTTTCGGCCCCGCCGCTGGGCCCATTCCTCGATATGTGGGTGCCTCCCGGCGCCGGGAGGCGCTGGGAAGATCAGCTACGTGAGCCGATTCTCAAACCCCCCTTTGCTACCCTCCCCTTTCGCCCGGCCCGAGAGGAGGACGGGATGCCGATGCCGTTGCTCGTCCTGGAGAGCCGTGGTCGTCGTCCATGCCTTGAAGCGCGTTCGTCGGGTCTCCGCGGCTTTTTCCAGCCTCGGGATGCCTCTTCCAGCGGGATGCCTCTTCCAGCGGGTGCGGCTCCCGGATCGTCCCGAACGGCCGCTGGAGACCCGAGTTACGCTCCTAATGCCCAGGAGGAGTATGCAAACATCGTCGAACAACAGTCCGGGGACGATCTTTCGAACATGCTCGGTGAATGTTGTGCGTATTTTTACCTAACAGCTTTTGCTGATAGGTTTCTAGTAGGGTCAAAAGAGAGCATCATGACTCCTCAGGGGGGTCTGGGCGGGTGCCGGGGAGGAGAACCGGGAACAGAACCGGGAACAGAACCGGGAACAGAACCGGGAACAGAGCCGGGCTCGCTTTTCGCCAACAGTCACACATTTCGTGCTCTTCGACCTCCCAGAACTCCATTCCCGGGCCACATTCTGGATGCCCGGAGCCAACTGCAGGCCACTTCGTGCTCTTCGACTTCCCAGAACTCCACTCCCGGGCCACATTTTGAATGCCCGCGGAGCCAACTGTAGGCCACTTCGTGCTCTTCGACTTCCCAGAAATCCATTCCCGGGCCACATTTTGGATGCCCGGAGCCAATTGTAGGCCACTTCGTGCTCTTCGAGTTCCCAGAATTCCGCTCCCGGGCCACATTTTGGATGCCCGGAGCCAATTGTAGGCCACTTCGTGGTCTTCGAGTTCCCAGAACTCCATTCCTGGGCATGATTTTGAATGCCCGGAGCCAACTGTAGGCCACTTCGTGTTCTTCGAGTTCACAGAATTCCACTCCCGGGCCACATTTTGAATGCTGAGACAGGCTGAGGCTGAGGCTGAAGCAGGCTGAGGCTGAGGCAGGCTGAGGCTGAGGCCGAGGCTGAAGGCAGACTGAGGCTGAGGCTGAAGCAGGCTGAGGCTGAGGCTGAGGCAGGCTGAGGCTGAGGCAGGCTGAGGCTGAGGCTGAGGCTGAGGCAGGAGGCTGAGGCAGGCTGAGGCTGAGGCCGAGGCTGAAGGCAGACTGAGGCTGAGGCTGAAGCAGGCTGAGGCTGAGGCTGAGGCAGGCTGAGGCTGAGGCTGCAGGCTGGCTGAGGCTGAGGCTGAGGCTGAGGCTGCAGGCTGAGGCTGAGGGCTGAGGCCGAGGCTGAAGGCAGACTGAGGCTGAGGCTGAAGCAGGCTGAGGCTGAGGCTGAGGCAGGCTGAGGCTGAGGCTGAGGCAGGCTGAGGCTGAGGCTGTGACTGCGACTGCCGTTGCCGCTGCGAGTGTCATCGCGAATGCGACTACGACTGCGAGAACAGCAGAGTTCTACAAGTGGATTCTCATCCGAATCTTAAGGACTTAAGGGGAATGCTTCCAGATATGCTCCTACACATCGCTGTTAGGTTGCTTTGCCGGGATAATTTATCTTTCGCCCAGAGCCCCCCTCCAGGTGGACAGGCCCGACTTCAGCGCTTGAATGTGCCGATGCCGCTGCGGAGCCCTCGCCGCCACGGCCAGACTCCCGCGGTGCGCGGGCAGGGCGCACCCCACAGGAGGGGGTCCGGGGAGCGGCGGTCGTCCCCTCCCAAGGGGGGGGAACAGGGGAACAACAAGTGGCATGAACACGAAAACTCGGAGGTCCACTCGAAGCAGGCGTGACGCCTGCTTCGAGGCTTCTCGAGCGGGGCGCGGCCAGCGACAGCGGCGAAGGACGGACCGAGGAGGCAAGGATGCAAGGGTACCCTCGGAACGGTTGCCCCATCCTTAGGGTAACAAAAAGTAACATAAACATAAAAGCTCGAAGGTCCACGCGGATTTCTCGGATCGGCGCTGGACCCCCCTCCCTGGCGCGCGGAGCGCGCCAGGGGCGGCGCCGGAGGCGCCGCCCGGGGCCCCCAGCGCGGATCCGAGAAATTCGCGCGGACCTCCGAGTTTTTATGTTTATGTCACTTCTTGTTCCCCTAGGGGAAGCGGGGGGGGGCGGGGGAGAGTGCAGCAGGAAGGAAGGGGGGCAGGCCCGAGAGTGCGGGGAGCGAGCGGGGGGAGCAGAGGGGAGGGGACAGAACTGAGCAGGTGCGCCCCTGCCACGTCGGACGTCCTGTCCCTCCCCTCTCACGCCGTTTCACGGCTTTGAGTTTCTCTCCGTTCGCAGAGTCGGGCGTCGGCGTCGGGAAAGACGCCCCGAATGGACAGCCTAATTGGAGAGGACCTTGGCCCGTGGGAGCCAGGAGCCAGGAGGGCATGAAGATGGCGGAGGTGCGGATGTAGGAGGAGGTACGAGTGAAGACGGCTGCAGCGACGAGAGCGTCGTCCCCTTGGGCGGGAGGTCTTCGGAGATTTGTAAGTGCAGCAGGCTGTGCAGCGGGAGCGCGACTTGCATTGATGCAGCAGTGCGGCCATCGTCACGGCGAGAACGCCAGTCCAGTGGAGGGGAGCTCTTCGGAGAACATAAAGCTGGGGAAAACGCAGCAGCGCGAGCATTACTTTTGAAACGCCTGGGGTGTTCTTATTGCAAGCGGTCTTATTGAAAAACAGCAGTGCGCGGGACAGGCGGTGGAAACCGAAGGCGGCATCAGGAGAAGAAGAGAGCAGCCCGCAGATCGTGTAATTGTAAACAGGGCTGGGGGGCAGAGGCCGGCTACACGGAAGAGTGAACTTTCGCCAGGGTGACCTCTGGTGCGGGTACATTGGGGTCCCCAGATGGCTCAAGGCGATGCGATGGCAGCGGCTTGCGCGAGCCGCGCACCAAAGGTCACTCTTGCCTGGGGCCACTCTTGCGTGTAGCCAAAGGGCTCACTCGGGAGACAAGAACTGCGTGTGTGGACAAGGCTGCCGAGGAGGACGCGGAACAGGGGGACAGCGGGTGAGGGGGGAGGCCGACGGCGTCGGGGAGGCCCACTCCCTTGAGAGGTCCGTTTGTGAGCCGTGGCGGCCCTCGAGGACCATCCAGTCTCCAGTCCATTCCTCTTGGTATTCTCCTCCTCCTCCTCCCCCTCCTCCCTCCCTCCCTCCCTCCCTCCCTCTCCTCCTCCTCCTCCTCCTCCTCCTCCTCCTCCTCCTCCTCCTCCTCCTCCTCCTTCCCCTCCTCCCCCTCCTCCCCCTCCTCCCCCTCCTCCCCTCTCCTCCTCTTCACTCCTCTCCCTCCCCCCTCCTCCTCGTCCTCCTCCCCCTCCTCCTCCCCCTCCTCCTCCTCCTCCTCCTCCTCCTCCTCCTCCTCCTCCTCCTCCTCCTCCTCGGACGCACGGCGGACTTGCTAGGGATCAGAGCGGCGATTGCAGGCGGAGCGGCGGAGGGGAGGCCTCCGTGGCGGCGGGGAGGTGAAGGAGAGAGGAGACGCCCGAGAGGACGATACTGACCGGTGACTTCGAGTGCCCAGACTTCCTGAGCGAGCCCGTCAAGGACCCGTGGCGTTGTCCAGAAGGGCTGGCGGGGGCGCGAGTGCAGTCTTGGTTCGCGCGCTGCTGCCTATAGGCCGGTGGGCTGCCCTTCTCCAGAGGGCGGCGGGAGGGCGCGAAGACAGCCATCGCATCGCGTGGTGCGATGCGCGGAGCTAGTTGGCCAGGAAACTGCGCACCCCGTGCACGCGCGGCACCCCACCTCGCCCCGTCCCGGCTGCATGACGAGGCAGGTCCCATGATTCCAGCTTTTGTCGATTCGGCTGTCCTGCGTGGGCTTCGGCCACAGGAAGCCAACCGAATCTTTCGCTTCTTCGCGTGGCAATCTCAAGCTCGTCTTGCTGAAGTGCTTCCCGAATGGCGCACCTTGTCTTTATTTGTGCTCGCGCGGGCTCATCCGAACAGCAACCTACCGTCGAGCTGGCTGACTGCGCGAGTCTGCGCCTCTGGCCGCAGGGTGCTCTTTGCTGCCGCGAGCATTGCTGCTCTTGTTCAGGGCTGGACCTTAACGGCGTTTTGGCGATGTCGTGGGCCGTTTTCGTTTCGACGTCGTTTTGCGGTGAAGGCGGACTGAAGACGTAACGAGGGAAACCGAAAATTACTCCGACGGTAGGACCCCACATGAGAATCTGTTTAGCTTACCCTTTGCCCTTTCCTCCTCCCCCTGGCGGACACCCTCTCCTCTCGCCCTCTGCACTGCCCTCTCTTCCTCATTATATTCCTCTTCCTACTTCTCCTCCTCCTCCTCCTCCTCCTCCTCCTCCTCCTCCTCCTCCTCCTCCTCCTCTCGCGCCACCTCCTCCTCGTCGTCGCCCTCCCCCATGCCCCTTCCCTCCTCATCCTCCTGCTTCTTTTCCATGTGCACCTCCCGTTCCCCCTGGTCGTGGCAAGCAACTCGATTTTCCTCGGCGCCGTCGCCGCGTCGGCCAGCACGCGCGCGTTTGCCGACGGCTAGATCGCGAAGCCGTCGGGGCAACCCTTCGGGCCAGGCCGTTGGGGCAACCTCGCAGGCCGCAGGGGCGCGGGAGCCAGCCGTTGGGACAACCCCGCGGGCCTCTAGGTGCGCGCCGCGGCGCTCAGGCGGGCGGCAGCACGAAGCCCAGCTCTGCCCCGAGCTGCTCCGCCTCAGCCCTGGAATCCACCGCTCTCTTGTCGAACTCCTGGAGCGCCTTCGGCAGTGACGCCGGCGGCCCGCGCTCCAGGAACTCTCGCGCGGGCGGCCGCAGGATCAGCATGTTCCGCATGCGCGTGGCGCGGGAGAACATGACGTAGAGGTGCAGCCACCACACTTCAGATTCAGGACTCAAGAGCCCAAAAGTGACGACTGTTACAAGGTTCCGATGACCCGCTCGGATTAGTAACATGATCTGCGGGCCCCATAGGGAGGGGGTTCCCGCCTGAGACTTCCTTGCAATTCACTCACAGACGAGGTTCCCGCCTGATACTTCCTGCATATTCAAGCCTCAGAGGCCCAAAAGTGACGACAGTTACAGGGTTCCGAGGACCCGCTCGGATTAGTAACATGATCTGCGGGCCCCATAGGGAGGGGGCTCCCGACTGAGACTTCCTTGCGATGCACTCACAGACGAGGCTCCCGCTCGAGACTTCCTTCATATTCAATCTTCAAAAGTCCAAAAGTGACGACACTTACAGGGTTCCGATGACCCGCTCGGATTAGTAACATGATCGGCGGGCCCCATAGGGAGGGGGTTCCCCCCGTCTGAGACTTCCTCGCAATTCACTCACACACGAGGCTCCCGCCTGATACTTCCTCCATATTCAGGCCCCAAGAGCCCAGAAGTGACGACAGTTAGAAGGTTCCGATGACCCGCTCGGATTAGTAACATGATCGGCGGGCCCCATAGGGAGGGGGTCCCCCCCGTCTGAGACTTCCTGGCAATTCACTCACAGACGAGGCTCCCGCATGATATTTCTTGCATATTCAAGCCTCAGAGGCCCAACAGTGACGACAGTTACAGGGTTCCGAGGACCCGCTCGGATTAGTAACATGATCTGCGGGCCCCACAGGGAGGGGGCTCCCGCCTGAGATTTCCTCGCAATTCACTCAGAGACGACGCTCTCGCCTGATGACGAAATAATGAGTGAGCGAATGATGATGATGAGTCTGTGATGGACGAGTTATGATGATGGTGATGATGATGATGACGAGGATGATGATGATGATGATGGCCACTGAGTGGGTGATCGAGAGATTATGATGGAGATTGTGACGATGATGTTGAGAGTGGCGGCGGTCCTACCGTCGGAGGACCACTGCTTCCGAAATCGACATGGGATGAGTGAGTAATTGAGTGAGTGAGTGGGTGATCGAGTGGTGATGATGGTGACGATGATGATGAGGATGATGATGATGATTAGTGATGACGGTGATGGTGGTCGATGGTGATGATGATGGTAATGCTGATGAATGTGTGTGCGTGTGATGACGATGATGGTGGTTGATGGTTATGATGATGGCGACGATGGTGAGTGAGAAAGAGAGAGGGAGAGAGAGAGAGAGAGGGAGAGAGAGAGGAAAGGGGGTGTGTGAGATCCTGCGCGGCGTGTGCAGAGAAAACAAGAACCCCACTTTGGATGTGGGGAACAAAACGAAAACGAGAAACACCGTTTAGGTTCAGCCCTGCTTGGCGTGGGCAGGCCAGGGTTAAGTCGGGCCGGTCCCCCTACATTGGGATTTTCGACGAAAAATGAAAAATACCCCCAACATAGCCAAACAGAAAATCAATCAAAACATCGTCTGGGGATTATTTTGTTAGTATTTGCTGAGTTTTTTTTGCTGCATTTTGGGGATATATATATATAAACATATATATATATATGTATGATTCCCGGCAGAGCCGGGTGAAATTCCGTGCCCGCCGGTGACTGACTGACTGGTTGATTGACTGATTGACTGACTGATTGATTGACTGATTGACTGACTGAACGTCAGGAGGGCACCTTGAACAACACATTTCACCCCGCCCGCGGGCGCGCAACCGCAACTGGGCGACACATTTCAACCCGTCCGCGGGCGCGCAACCGCAACCGCAACTGGGCGACACATTTCAACCCACCCGCGGGCGCGCAACCGCAATCGCAACTGGGTGGCACATTTCAACCCGCCCGCGGGCGCGCAACCGCAACTGGGCGGCACATTTCAACCCGCCCGCGGGCGCGCAACCGCAACCGCAACTGGGCGACACATTTCAACCCGCCCGCGGGCGCGCAAGCGCAACTGGGTGACACATTTCAAACCGCCTGCGGGCGCGCAACCGCAACCGCAACTGGGCGCCACATTTCGACCCGCCCGCGGGCGCGCAACAGCAACCGCAACTGGGCAACACATTTCGACCCGTCCGCGGGCGCGCAACCGCAACTGGGCGACACATTTCAACCCACCAGCGGGCGCGCAACCGCAACCGCATCTACGCGACACATTTCGACCCGCCCGCGGGCGCGCGACCGCAACCGCAACTGGGCGACACATTTCAACCGCCCGCGGGCGCGCAACCGCAACCGCAACTGGGCGACACATTTTCAAACCCGCCCGCGGGCGCGCAACTGCAACCGCTATTGGGCGACACATTTCAAACCGCCCGCGGGCGCGCAACCGCAACCGCACCTGGGCGACACATTTCAACCCGCCCGCGGGCGCGCAACCGCAACTACGCGACACATTTCGACCTGCCCGCGGGCGCGCGCAACCGCAACCGCAACTGGGCGACACATTTCGACCCGTCCGCGGGCGCGCAACCGCAACCGCAACCTACACCGATCCAGCCCAGGCCGATCCTAGGCCCAGGATCGGTGTATATGCATCCTGCCCATGGCAGGAGGGCGTATACACCGATCCTGGGCCCAGGTTGATCCTGGCCGGGATCGGTGTTGTTGTATAGTTGGTGCCTCCCCCTCCAAAGAGATTGCCGGCCAAGGCCCAGTGACATTTTCCGTTCACGCATGTGCACAGTTCTTGCCGATGCGCCGTCCGGGCGCGGCTCTTTGCTTACTGGCTCGGACCCCAGGAGGCGGCACCATCTTTGGGTATGGGGTTCCCGGAGCCTGGTCGCAAATGTTGCGTTGAAGGTTGCGGGGGTCTCGTCTGTCCCGTAAGTGGCGGTCGCTTTTCTGGTGTCCGAGGTGCGTCCGGTGCGCCTTCGGTGCGGGCTTGACGCGGACGTCGACGCAGAGTCGACGCGGACCCGACGCTCTCGAGGTGAATTCTCGACGCGTGCTCGACGCGATGGCGGTGCGATGGGACAGACGAGGTCCCCCGAGGATGCAATCACAGGGAGGCGCCCTCCGAAGACTTCAGGAGAGAAGGCGCTGAGCGTCCTGACCCCAGCGGGCCGATGAGCGGAATAATGCTGGCGACGGTAATGACGGGGTTGCCGTGAAGTCGGGCGTGTCCTTCTACAGGAGGAATATTCAAACGTAGTTAAAAAAATAGTCTGGCGACGATATTTGGAGTACTTTGCATTATCTTTAGATATTTTCGAGTAGTCTTGATCTTACGTCCAAGATTCCCCTGTAAGAGGACATGCCCGACCTGACGGTAATGGCGGGGTTGCCGAGGAAATGAGGGGGGAGAAGTATCAGCCCCTCATTCTCCAATCCGTGCTTGCACTGAAGGGGTCCTAGCGGAAATTGAGATCTTTGGCGAACGTGCCCCGCCGATTTTGGTGGCTGGCTGGGTTCCTGGGTTCCCGGGTTCCCGGGTTCCGGGTTCCCGGGTTCCTGGTTATTGCTTCCAGGCCAATTTCGGTGGGTTCCGGGTTCCCAGGTTCCGGTCGATCTCCTCCTTATCGATCAAACCATCCACTGATTGGGGTTTTTCTCTGGCGTTATCTTTGTTTGATGCTGGGGCTCACCATGAAGACGGCATTCGTCCCTTCATCCCCGAGACTGCGTCATCCTTGCGAGCGTTCGGGCGCTCTCTCTGTGGCGGCTGGCGGCCAGGCAGAGTTGTACTCTCGCCAGGCTCAGCGAAGGCACAGGCACCTC